GATGGCCATCTTCCTGCTGTGTCCTCACATGGGGGAGGAGCCAGAGAGCTCTCTGGGGTCTCTGTTATAAAAGCACTAATCCCGTTCAGGAGAGCTTCACCCTCATGACCTAATCCCCTCCCAAAGGCCCTACCTACTTCCTAATACTATCACATTGGAGGTTAGGATTTCAATATATGAATTTGGGAGTTAGGGGGGCTGGGGGTGGGACACAAACATTCAGTCCATAACAGAGGCATATAATGTCAGATCATCCCATGATTAATCATTTGATTGTTAGGTTCAGGTGGTGACCTCCAGATATCATTAAGGTACAGTTTTCCTTTTGCAATTACTAAGTAAATTGTGGAGTGATTCTTCAGCACCATGTGAATATGCTTTTCTCCTAACAACCTTTTTATCCAATTGTTTTATTTATTTATTTGTTTGTTTGTTTGTTTGTTTGTTTATTATGAGTTTTGCTTTGAAGTCTGGTATTTCTTTTCTTTCTCACGATAGCCACCTGGTTTTGAAAGTTGGGCAAAATGCTCCTCAGAGCTACTTTATTTAAAAAATTGATTTAAAAACTTTCTATTCTTTGGATGTATTTTCACCTCTTTTATCAAAATGAAATGTGTTGGGCCATAATGAATTCTTTAGAACTGGGTTGCCCAATGTAACCACTAGCCATACTGGCTATTTTCATTTTAATTAATGAAAACTAAATACATTTAAATTCCTCAGTTACACTAGCCACATTTCAAGGGCTCGAGGACTACATGTGTCTAGTAGCTTCCATATTAGACAGTACAGATACAGAACATTTCCACCATCATAGACAGTTCTGTTGAATACATGGCTTTAGAATGGGAGATGGCAGACCACAGCCTGAGAGCCCAGTCTGATCCACCACTTGTTCTGTAAATAAAGTTTTATTGGAATAACTTGTTTACATATTGTCTATGGCTGCTTTCAGGTTCTAACAGCAAAACTCAGGAGTTGGAACAGATACCATGTGGCTCACAGCACCTAACTATTTTCTTTTATCCCTTTATAGAAGACTGATCCCACTTTAGCATATGCATATTCATAAAGTTGAGGTTGTTTGAATAGCCTAGTTATATGTATATATTAGCAGTATAACATATGATATAAGGCAGATTTTCATAGTTTAGAGATTATCCAGACCAGAACAGTCATCCCCTTATAGGAACAACAAGAAAATCAGTCCTTCTCTGCTAGATCAGATTCTTTCCAAAATGAGGGGAATTAAAGAAGAAAAATACCAGGCAAGACAACACACAATGTGTCAATCTACTCAAGGTGTGTTGGGCAACTGGCAGAATTAGTACACAGTTGCCAAGAGGCCAACCCATCTGAGCTGCTGGCCCATTGTCACACTTGGACCCAGAGTCAGTTGGGAGTAAGGGATAGAATCTACAAAGGACCCAGGACAGTAAGAATAGTAACAGAGGGACGTGGGTGAAATTTTATTTCTTATATTTTAAACTGAAACATCTTTCAGTTGGGCCTTTCAGTTTAGTTTATTCAAAAAAATGTTTATTTCATTAATAGGGTACTTAGTTTTGAACTTTGATTGAATCTTTTTAATATTTTATTGTCTTTTCTCTTGTGGAATAGCCAAGAAATGTAGTCTCTGAGGTGACATGGGAAATATTTAAATCCAGTTGTGTTTTACCATTTTGCATACAATTTTCTTGTAATACTATTTTAAACCATGGAGCTTTTCCATGGAGGGATGGCATGAGCTTATTTTTATTTTGTCTGTGTGTTTGGCTGATTGGTTTTTTTTTTTAAAGATTTTATTTATTTATTTGACAGAGAGAGAGATAGCGAGAGCAGGAACACAAGCAGGGGGAGTGGGAGAGGGAGAAGCAGGCTTCCCGCCGAGCGGGGAGCCCGACGTGGGACTCGATCCCAGGACCCTGGGATCATGACCTGAGCCGAAGGCAGACGCTTAACGACTGAGCCACCCAGGTGCCCCTGGCTGATAGTTTTTTGAATGCATATATAGGCTGTACCCCAGATAAGTTTTGTCTCTGAGGATTCTGTTAAACTGATTTAACATATGCATCTATACATACCTATGTGTATGTATTTTTAGTTGTTTTCAAGTTGTGAATTGTAGTGCAATCTAATCAAAATAAGCATTTGACATTGGCCTAATAGAACCGTCTTTGTTATTCTTCTGGCCTAATAGAACCGTCTTTGTTATTCTTCGTTACTTTCCCAGGTTGAAACTAGCACAGTTTCTCATTCAAAGTGCCCTTGCTTCTCTCCCGCCAGGGCTTCAGTGAGTACCTTATGAAGCAGATTATAATGTAGCTCCGAGGGCTAAATTTAGAGACAAGACAAGCCTCTGCTCTAAATAGTAACAGCTAAGCGATAGAGACTTTTGGTGAACAGAGGTCTTCATTTAGTCTTTCAATAGCAGTAGGTGAGTTGCTGTTGGTGTTTGTTTTAATTTTTGCTGCTGTGTATGTCAGAATCTTTGTATGCTTTTTTTGTTTAAATGTTACTATGTTGTTTTCCACCTGCGGTATACAGAAGGTGTGCAAAATAAGGTCACAAAACGAGACCATGAAGAAACAAACTTTTGTGTTTAGAACTGAAGAGATTATAAATGGAGCTAAAGATTTTTAAAATAGAGTAATTCTCTGATCGGTAGGCTGTGTTTTGTGGTAATTCCTCATTAGCAGAAAAACAGCAACAAAATGCTAAGCTAGAGTTAGAGAGTTCGGTGAGTTTATATTCCGGACTGTAAAATAAAACTTTTAGAGAAGGCTTACACTTTTAAAATATTTTTTATTAATTCCATAATAGAGACATCTTTAGCAAAGAGTAACTGCAGCATGTTCACCTGCTAGAAAAGCTTCAGGCTACTTGGAGTCTTTTTTTGTTTTTATAATACCTCAGTATGAGACCTAAACTCTTTAACAGGTATTTTTTCTTTCCTGGCACAGGAAAATATTTTATATAATATTTGTAGTGTTTGGGGAGGTGTAGAAACAAGAAACACACACATCCATTATGAGTACCCCAATGAAATGTTTGCTAATCCAGAGTGAATCTTTTGAAAATGCCAACAAGAAAATTTCTGAATGAAAGAGTCTTGTAGTGACTGTAAATAATGCATTAGAAGCTCTATTTCCAACTTCCATCAAATGAGATTTCATTAAGTTTATTGCTTTTGTAACTATTTCCGTGTGTAGCTGCTGCCCCCCCCCCCCCACGTAGTGATCACTTTCTCTACCCTTTGTTCTAGATCTGTACTGCTATTGTACTGTAAATGTTTGTGAGTTTTATCTCCTCTAGGCCCTCTGCTCCTTGAGGGCGTGGAATCTGGCTTAGTCACCTTTATAGCTCAAAGCATGATACATTAAGTTCACTCTATGGGATTGATGAAAATTATCTCTACTTAAGCCATAACAGAAAATCCTTTTTGTGTTACTTTTCTTTTTAATCCATTCCACTTTTTAAATTATGATTAAAGGTTTAAGTGATAAACATTACTTTCCATATGAAAATAGATTTTCTTCTTTCATGGTGTGGAAAGTTTGGGTATATAAATAGAATCATTTTTATATGTTCTTAAGGATCTTTTTAAACTTTGAGACATAATTAAATAGTTTACTCGGATACAGCAGATTTTCTTGATTGTTTAATGGTGACTTAATTGGAAAAATCTAGACATTCTCAAATCACAATTAAAAAGAACTTTGAAAGGTAAATAATTTGCTTGACATTTTCTTAATTGTGTGGTCTTCATAATTTTGGTAATCTGGATATATTTTCATATTATAATATTCATGCCACAAGGTTATTCTTAATTTCTAAGAGATCTTACAGAGCAGGTTCTTTTTTACTTTTTTTTTTTTAAGATAATTTAATCTTAAATTTTCTTTGCATAGAAAAGCAAATATTATGTATATTCCCTTTTTAACCAAAAAATTACACTTCACACTTTTATTCAGCTTGCTTTTTTCCATTAACAGTATGCCTTGAACATCTTTCCATGTCTGTGCAATAGCTTATTTGACAATTATTAACTAAATGCGAACTCTACTTAGTGTTGTTTTAGATACTAAAGATACTGCTTTGAGTAAAACCTACAAAGTCCCTACTCACGTGGGGGTTACATTCTAATGGGGAAAATGAACCATGGGCAAACCCATCATAGTGAAATGGCAGGTGCTACTAAGGGCTGCGAAGAGAAATAAAGCTTGGTAAGGAGAGACGGACAAGGGACACCATTCGTGGGGGTCACCAGGGAAGGCTTCTCTGAAAAGGAGGCACTTGAGTGAGGGCAGAGAGTGAGCCATGTGAATGGGTGGGGAAAGATCCTTCCCAGAGGAGAGGCAGCTTTCTCCGGCACATTGGAAGAAGAGAACAGTACGGCTGGGGCGCAGTGAACGAGGGGGAGGGATGCAGATGGCCGAAGCGTGATCAGAGAGGGAGCCAGGGCAAGAAATGTAGCACTGCATTTAGATCTCATTCTTCTGTAAAGCTTCATAACTTTCCATTTGATGGCTTCTTAGAACTTACTTAACCAGACTACTGTTTATGGGCATTTAACTTTGCAAGTTTTTATTCAACAGTGCTGCGACTCAGTCCTTTTGTACACACGCACTTACACGAGTGCACGCAGGCATAATTATGCATATTTGTGTGGGTAAAACGGCAAAGTAAATTTCTAGTAAAAGAATTTGTGGACTACAGGTTATGCACGTGTAAATATTTATATTCACCAACTGCTTCTCCAAAGTACTGCATGGAGTTTATTCCCTCTGTCAAAGTTTATGTCTGTGGTCGTTTTCCCTATGTCTTTTGTCAACACTAGATATTATTAAATTTTAAAAGTTTTGCTAGTTCAACAGTTACAATTACACCTTGCTTTTAAAAGTATATTCAGTATAGGTGAGGTGGAACGTATGCTTATTAGCCATACATTTTTATGTGAACTGCTTATTTGAAATAATCTTTATTTTCTTTGTTTTCAGAAATTTTATGAATAAGCATCAGAAGCCAGTGCTAACAGGCCAGCGGTTCAAAACTCGGAAAAGGGGTAAGGTTGTGCTGTGCGTTTGCGTGCGTATGGGCGTTGGCAGAGCGGGTGAAGTTCTAAGCAAGTTAGGAGATTTGCAGAAGGATTAGAATTATCCTTGTTTCCACGGAACCGCCCTCGTTCTATTCTTTTAAGCTCTGGATATAGAACCTGAAGTTCTGTATTCAAGCCTTTGAATAGTTCTTTACGTGTTTGATTTTGGACAAGTCATTTAACTCGTCTGAACTTTGTGTCTTTATCTACTAAAGGAGGATGATTCTATCTGGTCAAGGTTTCCTCACTCTCCTGTGAGGCTATGAAGACAATAGATAAACTCTGCTGTTTTTGACATCCAGCATTTGTATTTGAGTTTTGCTTTCTTTGTTGTTTTTAAGGAAATGTTGAGAGCAAAGGTGGTAAAACTTAGGAGAAAAGTAAATTAGGGAAGGAGGTATTGATGAGTTTTTACACTTGAAAATTTAATAAGTCAAATTAAATTTACAGCCTAAATATGTTTAAAGCTCAGGATATTTTCACATGTCTTTTATTGTGGAAAGGTAGTGATAGACCCCATTTGATGACTGGTAACAAATTTATTTGGGTGAGTGACTTCTTTTTATACTATGTTCATCTTATCATCCTTTCTGTGTAAAGAATAGTTGTAAATTTTTAATCAGTTTTGCATAATTATAAAGAAGTCCTTTTGGACTTAAAAAAAAAAAATAGTTGAGCCGTAACGTGACAAGGAAACTTTTTTTTAAAAGGAAACATGATATGAAATTATTATGTTGACTAACACTGAGGACAATAACTGAAACATATTTAAGAAAGTATCGTGCAGAAACATGAATGACAATTAGATATCTCTGTGAGGCCTCACTGCTGATTGCAAAGGTTGATGGCAGGTAATGGTCACCAAGTGCTAAATTGTTGAATTGATAGCCCATAGTATATGGCTTTGGCATTTCCAATGTTGAGGTAGCCCCTGCAGCTTATGCTGTCTTGCATAAGTACTGTGTCTGCATAAGTAACAAGTCTAGCCTTGCAGAAGGAAAGGAAGTCTGAATGCAATCAGTCATTTGGAGTAGAAGAGTTCGTGAGAGTCACTAGATAGCAGTGGAGGCTGAATTTAAAACTGTAAATGCTGCTTGCTGGGAATTCACATTCCTACTAAAAAAAGAAAATTAAAAAACTGTAAAGTAAGCAAAATGTGGTTATTTTGTACAGTATTTTTGTCTTGTGCTTTCCCCTTTTCTATTTTTTTTTTTTTTCATCCCTGGCTCATCCCTATAAGCTAAGGCACATGGCCTGAGCCATCTCCCTCTGCTTGGTCCTCGTCTGGGTCCTTATCTTGGTCTTACAAATTACGTCCCCACTACATTTCCTCATTGAAATCCAGATGTTGATATCAATACAAGGCGTTACAGTCAATGTGCCTTCATTATCTCATGGTTTAAAAGCAAGTCATGGGGGAAAAAAATTATGTGGATGATTTTAAAAGGACTTCATCAGGAAGGAACGATACAGTTCAGAAAGTTAATTGTAGTTAAGGTATTGTTGATCCTGGTAATGTGATAATATCTAATATATGCCCACCTGTGAGGTGCAGAAAGGTTCTCCTTCCCCTGCCCACTGGGGGAACGTGTTAATCTCAGACCTGGATCCCCAACTCGAACAGCTTTACCCGTGTGATGCTGATTCACGGTAACTGAGCTTAAAAGCCAAGAGAGGGCCCAAGGATTGCACAACAGCCGACATGACTCAACAAGTAAATTGGCTCTTAGAGTCAGTCTTCAGTTTTGAACTGGAAAGGTTTTCTCAAATTCTGAGCTGGTTTGTCTCTTGATTCATTCAGTGAGCAAGATTGTGCCTATGTCTTTCTGCTCCTGGAATACTCAGAGAGAGCTACCCAGAAATATATATTATTTGTCAGTTGATCGGGATTTATATAACTCAGGTCTGTTGGGGATTTCAGCAGCACTTGAGCTATTTTGTGCCAGACTGCTGGCTGGGGGGAAAAATGGAGTCAGCCTCATTTTCTACACTTTATAATAGTGAATTGCCTCCTGATGATTTATCGTGCTTTGGCTTTTCTTTTGCAATTATGATAGGGCTGACTTCAGATAAATGGTTAGCAGTTTTGTAGAGCTGAGGCAAAAAATCTAGTGAGGTTATTTCAAGGTCATTTTCATAGGCTGTCTTCTGAGGATCTGTCTTCAGTTTGAAACTGTTTGCTAGCAAAGCTAATAATGCTCTTCCATGCCAAGTTAGTAAAAAAAAAATGTATTTTCTATTGCTTAACATCAAAATTAAACATTATGATAGGACACATCATTTAGAAATCTACTCAGACTGTTTTCCTTTATGAAATATACACATCCTATTTATGATATTTTCTTCAAAGAAATTATGTTTTCTAGTGTGGCTTGTGGGAATTTGAAACAATAGAAATTTCTCCCCTGTGCCATTGTTATGCTTAGCTAAGTGAAATATTTAATAACTGAACTCACCTCCCTATAAATTTTGTAGAGAAATTGGATTAAAATTAGTGAAAATAGGAGAGAAAAAAAATGACCGACTACAGGCATCCAGAGTGCCCACATACCCTGGGTTCTTCCTGAGACTTTTCATCTGTCTTGGCAGTTTTAAATCACTCTTAGATTTATAATAAGTGTTAGCAACTAATCTAGTAAACCTTCGAATGCTGAAATATGTATGTTTGTAAATATATATATGTAAATATATGTGTATGTGTATAGTTAGAAAACCCATGATTGTTCAAACTCATTTACTATACTTAAGTGACAGTCAAAAAAGGATGTAGGTTTTGTTATTTATCACTGACTCAGTGGTAGGAAAAGTGTTATATTAACCAGATACTATGATTCCCAGAGAAAGCAGTGTGTTTAGATAACTTAGAGGCATATTTGAGCATCAGAAATAAGCCTGTTTCTCTATGTCAGTATAAGGGCCAGCATGACTAACTCTCTAGTGTCACACTTGTGATTCACCAACACAGTATAAATTTGAGACCCTAATTATATACTTCCCGCTTCAAGGGAGGTTAGACCTGTCAAATGGAAACGCAAGGAAGTAATAGCGTATTTTCATTAAGATTTTGTTAGTATTTTTGCTAGACTGTCCTCAAGTGAACTACAAAGTACATATAATGTCTAGTTTCAGATAAAAAAAGAACTTTGGGGTAAAATATGTCATGTTTCCCCAAATTTTCATCAGTGTTCTTGCCATTTTCTTGTTGGGGAATTTTGTATTCCTCTGGATGAACATGTTAATCTTAGCAGATGGGCGCTTCTTTTCAGCCTGCAAAAGAATGATTAATCTTAGCATGCCATCACAACTTCTTAAGATGCCCAAGCTACGAGCGATCATTTTGACCTAATGCATTATCACTCACTGTTGAAGTATCTTCGGCCATGACATGCTGTCTTCATCCTCTTACTTCCCTCTTCCTTGGCAGATCTCTTAGGAAGATAGAACTGAAATGAAGGGCTTTATACAAACACAAGTTCTTGAGTTGTCTCTCCGATTCAAAACAAAGTCCTCTGCATGAATTCTTAGCACGGTCTAGATTTTTTACCTGTTTACTAACTTTCATTTTCCAATGCCTCAAAGTTACAATTTTCGAATCATCAAAGCCCGTTCTACCGCCCGAGTCAACGTTCAAGTGCGTCGTAGTGCCGTTGCCGGAATGGCCTCAGTTGGTTTTGAAAGCTGGTTACGAGACAATAAACAACTTGTGGTGGTTTTGCTTCTCATGTTCTCATATAACAGGAAAGAAATCTTTTACTGCCAAAGGGGTTAGGAGAATTACCTTTTGGCTGGACCCGGAGTGGGGGGTGAAGTGTCCTTCGCTTGCCATTGAGTTCGTCCTGCGTAGTCACAGCTCCCCCCTCCTCCAGCTTCTCCTCTGTTCCCCTGGAGTTCCCGTTCTTGTCCTCCCCCTCCACAAAACAAGACCTTAACTATATTTTTCCTGCAGTCAACATTTGCATGTTCTTGGCTGCGTAATGTTTTGCTTATGGCATCACAAGGACTTTTATCTCTTGTTCGTGAAAAATGGCGTTCAAGTTACGTCTGTCTTTATGGCATCTTATGCTGTGTGACTCTGACTGGTACTGGGGATGCCGTTCTTTGGTTCTGATGCTGTGGGGTTAACCCCTTACAACTCACCCCTCCTACTAGACCAGTATAAACAGTCAGTCTGTACAAAACAGACAGGTGCTATTCTGGTCTCCAAGTAGTTTTTTAAATGTATGCGGGTCCCATGGTTTAAATAGTCAAACCATCCTGCAAGACATGTTATAGCAACACCAGGTAAATTCCCCAGAGGAATGCCTTCTGCTCTTTATATGCTTCTTTTAATTTTACGTTCACTTAACCAAGTAACATTCTTACATGGTTATTTCCTGACTTTTCTGGGGGAGGTATTATATCTGCACTTGATACTACGGAAGATGAGGATTTAGCTCTCTTCACTGCCCTATCCACCTACAGACCTCTTCTTTCTTTTTACTGTAGCCCAGTTTAGCTAGACCGCTGTATAGGGTTTCTGTTACTTTGACTTTGTGCAAGCTCTTCACAGTTCAGCTGTTACTGGATTACTCTTTTTTCTGAACATCATTTGGTCTTTGGAGTTAATATTTCATAATTTAAATGTCATAATTTATCCTTTTTTGTTGCTCTTGTTGTCAGTGCCTTAACACTACGCAATACCAACCTTTCCCTTCGTTATGTAAACCTTTTAATACAGAAACTTGAGGACTTCTTATCATATGTCGTATAATGCTAGCATAGTGACAAACCCTCCCCAGCGGCTTGCCCTCTAGGCCAGTAGTACAGCTCACGATGTGAGATGTTTGCAATATCTTTTCACCGCTGTCCCGGAGAGTCCTGTTGCCTGTCTCCTCCTATTTTTTTCTCTTTTCCTGGGATCTCATGACTTAATAAGATCATGTGATCATGAGTTATTCTCTCATTTTGGTGTGGAGTGTCTGCTTCAAGCCTTCTTTTTAGAAAGGAGGGTATGAGAAACATCATTTTTGAGGCCTCAGATGCCTCAAAATGCATTTATTCAGCTTTTACACTTGGCTGACAGTTTGACTGAACTCCGGACTTAGAGTTTGGAAACTATTTTCCATCAGAATTTTGAAGAAATTTCTTCTGGTTTCTGGTATTTCTGTTGAGCAATTTAATGTCATTCTGGGGTGCCTGGGTGGCTCAGTCGGTTAAGCGTCTGCCTTCGGCTCAGGTCATGATCCCGGGGTCCTGGGATCGAGCCCCGCATCGGGCTCCCTGCTCAGCGGGGAGCCTGCTTCTCCCTCTGCCTGCCCCTCCCCATTGCTTGTTCTCTCTCTCTCTCTCTCTGTCAAAAATAAATGAATAAAAATCTGTAATGTGATTCTGTTTTTGATAGTTTATATGTGATTTGGGTTTTTGCCCCTGAAACTGCTGACAGCTGCTTTGTTCCCAGCATTGAGATTATGCGATAACGTTGGCATCTTATCGTGGGCCCACTTTGAATCCTCGTGTGCAGACAACTCTTTACTGAGAAATTCATGTCTTTCAACTCTGTAAAACTTTTCTCGAAATTTTTAAATCATTTCTTTCCTTAAAAAAAAAAAAAAAAATTCTCAGGGCACCTGGCTGGCTCAGTCTGTGGAATATGTGACTGTTGATCTCTGGTTGTGAGGTCGAGCCCTGCATTGGGTGTAGAGATTACTTTAAAAAAATAGAAAATCTTAAAAAAAAATTTCTCATTAAAATTACTATGTGGACATTTGACTGGTGTGCCCTTTTTCTTATTTTTTTGCTCCTATTTTCTAGGTCTTTTTTTCTTGACTTTTTTTTCTAGTTTCTAGGAGATATTCTCAGCTTTCTTTCTCAGCTCTTCTATTGAGTTTATGACTTTTTCTATCATACTTTCCATTTCCAAGAACTCTTTTATTCATGACATGTTTCTTTTTTTAGCATTTTATTCTTCCTTTCTTCTTCCTCCTCCTTCTTGTTTCTTAAATTTGCAGTGTCCACTTATCTCTCTAAAGGTATTTATGATGGGATTTTTGTGAAGTTTCTGGTTCATCCTTTACCCCTCCCTTTCCACATCCAAACTCATTCTCTAAAAGGGGAGATGAAGGTGAAGTCCTGTGAATTGAATCCTACCTTTACCTTTAATTTAGTCATTTTTTTTTCCTGCCTCTTCGGACCTCTGGTTTGTCATCTTCACTTCTTTTCAACAGTGTATGATCCTTGCTTTGTTTAGGATCTAGCTCCAGGGGCCCCCGGCTGGTTTAGTTGGTGGGGCATGGGACTCTTGATCTCGGGGTCATTCATATTCAAGCCCCACATTGGGCGTAGAGATTATGAAAAAAAAATAAAAATTAAAAAAAAAAAGATCTGACTCCAAACTGACCTTCCACAAGAAGTCTCTCTTGAGTCTGCTGAGGGTAGGAAACTCCATATATCCATATCCCTACATCCTCTGAAGCCCTTTTAGGGCTTCTACAAATTCAAAACTGTTTCCATTAAAATACTAAGATTTTATTTGCCTCTTTCACACATTCACTCATGGTGTATGGTGGTTTCCCAGAGGCTACATGATGTGTGATATCACAACAGATTGCACACAATGCTTAAGGGAATCCATCTCTCTGCTATTAAGCCAGGCATTAAAGAGATTAAACAAAGCCTGTCTTCACACTAATTTTTTTAATTTGATAAATATTTTTAAATTTTAAATTGGCTCAGTTGGTTAAGCGACTGCCTTCGGCTCAGGTCGTGATCTCCTGGAGTCCCGGGATCGAGTCCTGCATCAGGCTCCCTGCTCGGCAGGGGGTCTGCTTCTCCCTCTGACCCTCCTCCCTCTCATGTGCTCTCTCTCATTCTCAGTCTCAAATAAATAAATAAAAAATCTTTAAAAAAAAAAAAGTTTTTAAATTTTGTTTTAATTTCTATAAAGTAAGTATCCATAGATATAACCTCCTTACACAAAAAAGCTCTTTGGAATCCTCAGTACTTTTTAAGGGTGACAGGGGGTCTTGAGACCAAAATGACTGAGAACATCTGCTCTGAAGCTATAAATATACATATATAGTTCATGGTATATATTAAATATTTAAGTGCCCTGGAATAACTTATCTTGTAAAAAGAAATAAATGTTGATATACATGTGGAGAAAAGGAGAACTTCATGAAATGTTGGTGGGAATATAGAGTGGCATAGCCACTACGGAAAATGGGATGAAAGTTCCTCAAAAAATTTAGGGGCACCTGGGTGGCTCAGTCATTAAGCGTCTGCCTTCAGCTCAGGTCATGATCCCGGGTTTCTGGGATTGAGCACCGCATCGGGCTCCCTGCTCAGCGGGAAGCCTGCTTCTCCCTCTCCCACTCCCTCTGCTGTGTTCCCTCTCTCACTGTGTCTCTCTCTGTCAAATAAATAAATAAAATCTTAAAAAAAAAAAATTTAAAGGGGCGTCTGGGTGGCTGAGTTGGTTATGTGGCCAACTCTTGATTTCGGCTCAGGTCATGATCTCAGGGTCCTAGGATCCAGCCCCGCATTGGACTTCACGCTCAGCAGGGAGTCTGCTAGAGGATTTTTTCTTCCTCTCCTTTCCCCCCTTCCCCCTCATGCACACACTGTCTCAAATAAATAAATAAATCTTTTTAAAAAATTTTAAAATAGAACTACCATATGATCTAGTAATTCTACTACTGGGTATTTATCTGAAGAAAATGAGAACAGTAATTTGAAAAGTTATAGGCACCACTGCGTTCATTGCAGCATTATTTACACAAATAGCCAAGGTATGAAAGCAACCTAAGTATCCACTGATGGATGAATGGATAAAGAAAATGTGGTATATACATATATGCAACAGAATATTATTGAGCTATAAAGAGAAAGAAATCTTGTCATTTGGGACAACATGGATAGACCTTGAGGGCATTATGATAAATAAGTCAGACAGAAAGACAGATACCATATGATCTTACTTATGTGCGGAATCTTTCAAAACAAAACAAAACAAACCCCCCACAATCATAGATACAGAGAACAGACTGGTGGTTGGCAGAGGCAGGGAGTGAGGGGCGGGCAGAATAGGTGAAGGTAGTCAAAAGGAACAAACTTCCAGTAATGAAATAAGTAAGTTCCAGGGATGTGATGTACAGTTTGGTGACTATAGTTACTGATACTGTGTGGTATAATAGAAAGTTGCTGGGAGGCTAAGTCTTAAAAGTTCTCGTCACAAGAAAAAAGAATTATAACTATCTATGGTGGTAGATGTTAACTATACTTCCTCTGGTTGGTAATCATTTTGCTGCACATCTGAAACTAATATGTCAATTATATAATTGATACATTGATAATTGAAACTAATATATGTCAATAATAAGAGTAATAATAACAAATAATAAAGAGATGTCCCTCTTTATTTCCTCCGTCCTAATCTTTATTTTGTTGATTTGTATATTCTCCTTTATTCTTAGGCAGTTCTCCCTGAGTCATTTTCTTTATCCTAAATCAAAGAAAATTTTAAGTTTTGATTGTTATACTTTATTTTTTCTCAGGTCGTTAGGGTAAATAGATTACAGTGGCCTATCCTGTGGATGACAGAAATGATCAGTTATCAATTTTATTATGTATTAGATAGAGTTAACGTATTTTTGTGGCCCCTTTAAATAGGAAATAAAAAATTTGATTGAATAAATGTTTAAACAAGGAGTTTCAGAACATGTAAATCTAGCAGAAAAACTTAGTTGTCTTCCAACTTTTAAATAATCACACTGTCAAGTAAAGAATGATGGACAAAGGAAATGTATGGTTGCATTTGGGAATAGGATGTGTTAGTAAAAGGATTAATTTTATAACTTACTTATTTTAGATGAAAAAGAGAAATTCGAACCCACAGTCTTCAGGGATACACTTGTCCAGGGGCTTAATGAAGCTGGTGATGACCTTGAAGCTGTAGCCAAGTTTCTGGATTCCACAGGCTCAAGATTAGATTATCGTCGCTATGCAGACACGCTCTTCGATATCCTGGTGGCTGGCAGTATGCTCGGTAAGCCACGCATTGTAGAGTCTTCTTGTAGTACTTGAAATTCCATTGAAATACTTCCTTATGAGGTAGAATCTTTATAAATTTACATTTATGAGAGTTGATAAAAAATACAAATGGCAGTCTGTACAGTTTTTACCTCGTTTACAAGTTGGGATGGTAGTAGTGTGGCTGTAGAAACAGTTACTGGTTAAGAAAGGCATAGAAATGGGGCGCCTGGGTGGCCCAGTCGTTGGGCGTCTGCCTTCGTCTCGGGTCATGATCACAGGCTCCTGGGATCGAGCCCCACATCGGGCTCCCTGCTTGGCGGGAAGCCTGCTTCTCCCTCTCCCACTCCTCCTGCTTGTGTTCCCTCTCTCACTGTGCCTCTCTCTGTCAAATAAATAAATAAAATCTTAAAAAAAAGGGGGGGGCATAAAAATATCGATTTTTGTTGTTGTTGTTGATGTCACCCCATGGCCACTTTGCTTTATAGCTAAAGGCCAGCTTCCCATGTGTCTCTAATTCTTAAATGTTTCTGAAGCAGACAGAGGAGGAGGAGTAAGTAATTCATGTAGTAGAGTACGACTTCGTGTGTGTCCGCTAGTTCCTTCCAGTATATTTAATCAACCCCCAATGCCATAGCACCTTTTCATTTGACGCCCAGCCTTTTTTCATGCAGTGAAATGTAACTGTGTCAACAAATTTAAAAGTAATTCTCTGTTTTTCATTAAATGCTGTTTAATCCGTAAATAATAAAATGTCAAAAATATAGTTCAGATCTGGTTTTTAAAAAATGCGTAGTTGTGAGTATAGAGCTAAAAGGATTAAGAATAGAAGTTTTAAAATTATTAAAGATAGGTTAAAAGCAAAATAAAAATTGGAGAGCAGAGGCATCTAGGAAGAAGGCTTTAGAATACTATTTCAGTGCCATGGTATGTTGGTCTAAATGTTGATGAGATGTCATAATGACCCATTGTTTCTTTCATAGTTATTCTTAGAACTTAGTTTTTATAATTAGTTTCTTTGGTAACCATAAATCACGAGGAGTGGTCAGACCCCTAGGCTAGGGAATTTCAACTGCCTAGGGGGCATTTGCAAGTGTGTAGAAATGTCTGGGTTGCTACAAAGACTTGGTAGTGGAGACCGGTAGGCCTCCTACTTTGCTATACAGGGGATATTCAAAATAATGAAAAATGGCCCTGTCCAGTGTGATATATCAGTGCCTTTCATTGAGAAACACAGTTTAAGCCACCCTACTTAAGGACAAGGTACATACTTTCATCCATATTGAGGTAGAGCCACACTTAAATTCCTCCCTCTGAGAAATCTCTCCGTTTGGCAACATGCTCCACTTAACTACCAGGCCCCCTTTTGATCTGTACTGTTGCTTTTCACTATGTACCACGTTAGTTTTGTTGCTATTACTGTATCTAAAGATCTCACATTCTCACTGCTGATAATTCAAGTCCAAGTATAAGAGCTATATGTAGTGTGTTCAAATCCCTTTACCCAGAGATAACTTGTTAATATTTTGATTAATTCCCTTCTGTCAGTCTCTTTACCTACATATGCTAATTTGTGAGAATGGGATGATATTTTACAAGTATGATACTCTGCATGGCTGTTTTGTACTTATTCAACAGTAGGTTGTTGCCTTTCATGCCCAGGGGTGTTACCTTGGATGATTCCAAAAAGAACCAAAATCATACCGATTTTGAAGCATATTTAACTTGTTCCTCATTTCCTTTATTATAAGTAATCAGTGTCTGTATACACATAGATTTGTACTTTTATCTGATTATATCTTTATATATTTAACAAGGGATTAATGAATTGAAGAATAGAGATATCTATATCTATCTTTGTCTTCCTATCAGAGAGAGAAGACTGGCCCTCAAAAGGAATATCCTAATTAACATTTTACCAAAAATCATGTGTTCCTACATGTTTATGTACACCTTTAGCAATAATATTAGGTACTCTCAAGCTTGTCAGTTTTTTTAAATTTTGCCAATTAGGTAAGTGATGTTTTCATTCAAAAACTTTTAAATCAATAGTGAAGTTGAACATCTTCTGATGTGATGATTGGCTTTTTGTATTTCATTAATTATGACATACTTTTATTGATATACTGGTAAATTCTACACAAGAATAGTCTTCAGCGAGTTTCGGTTTTTGCCAAAGTCACTCATGACTTTAATAGTCAATCCTATAGACCTTTTTCAGTTCTTAGTGCCCTCCTGGCAGCTACTGCTGACCCTCTGTCATTCTTGAAATGTTTTATTTTCTTCCCTTACACGAGACCGTTTCAACTTGTATTTCTCTGGATGCCTCTCACATGATTCTTGGGTCTCCATACTTACTGCCCCCATGTATATATTAAATTATCTGTACACTTTGCATTAATAATCTCAAATCTTCATTAACCATCTGTATAATGATGATCAGCAAATTTATATCTGCAACCCAGATTTTGCTCCTTCACTCTACATCCATATGTCCAAAAAGGTAGGGCAAAGCATATGGTAAGACTTAGGAGCACAGTTGTTACAACCCCCAGATATCTACCAGGGCCAGACCTATGATGTAATGAAGAAAGCCAGCCAGGCACATTCTTTTTACATAAACACTTTGTTTACTTAGTAAGTATGGGAATTGTCTTCATACGCACCAAAAAAAAAATTTTACCTTCTTCCATTGTTCTTAAAACAATAGTCATCTTGGTTTTTCAGTTGTATTCTTTACAGTAGATATAAGAACTATTTTTTCTTTTACTTATATTTTGAGGAGAACAGCAGGCTCACCAAAATTTTAGAAAGGGCAATTAATACTTGATTCAGGTATCAGGGGAAAAAAAAATTAATGCAAGCTGTAGCAGTATTATCAATGTGTAACAAATCTTTTGTAAAAGAATGCAGTTTTTTAAAACTTACCTCTTAAGAGAAAACACTATAGTTTCAAAATCAGACTTTTCAGTTATGTAACTTCTGTCAGATAGGAGTCATTAGCCCAGAGTTTTTAGAAGATTATCGTCTTAATAAAATTTTGTTCCAGGTGGTTGTATTCATTACAGAGAGCTAATTAAATCTTAGGCATAAATTAATTTCATGAAAATAGATTCCTGAAGGAGCTGACTTTTCTGAAAAGTAATTTACTTATAAAATGGTATGCTGGAGTCTGAAAAAGGTTGACTAGGTATAGCACTTTCATCCAAAGATCTGAAATCACAAGTTAAATCAAGGCAGTTACATAAATCCATAAAAGAAGTGGCTGGTGCAAGTGTATGTTCTTCAGATATTTGTTGAGTGTATGAAAGGCATTGGTCTAACTTGGCTTGTTCAATGCCCCCCCCCCCCATTACAATGAAATAGAATCAGAAAACAAAAACACCTAGTGTTGATTCTGTTCTTCTAATCACCCGGTGGTGTTTGTAATGGCCATCGTTGAAACTTCCAGGAGGAGCCTTTGAATATGCAAATTTGAGTCATAGAAAAAAAGACATTCTTTTGTTCTAGTCCATTTATTCCATGATATTGTATAGGCCATGGGGAAAAAAGATGAGAGAGAATAAAATACACTCTTTCCTAGCCAACACAGCTGCCAGGTCTTCCAACACAAATAGCGAGGAGTCGGAATGTGGACTGATCAACCCTGCATGGATAATGGCGTTAGTGGAGGAGGGAACAGTTTTAAAACCTACTCACATAGAAACTAGCAAGGTCTGCTACAAGAACCAAGTCTGGCCAACCTCCAGTTGGTGAACTGGAGTCCCGCAAAATATTATTAAGCCTGAAAAAGTGAACCATGTCCTGATGTTGCACACATCAGGAACAACATTGAGAATCATTGAGTCCAGACTTAGAGTGATAAGATTTTATAGTGATAGGATCCTGGTAGAACATTAATCTCACACACTATGGCAGTACTATAAAATGGAACAACCAATTTGCTTTATATTAGAAACATACACAAATAGGTAACAACATATGCATCTACACATGCACCCCATCCTATGAATTTTTATGTGATTCTGGATTTTTACATCTACTTTTACTGTTCTCGATGTGCAGGAATTGATGTGTTCTGCAAATGCTCCTCTCATTTCAGTATTGTCTTAATCATTACCTTTCTCTTTTCAGCCCCTGGAGGAACACGCATAGATGATGGTGACAAGACCAAGATGACCAACCACTGTGTGTTTTCAGCAAATGAAGATCATGAAACCATCCGAAATTATGCTCAGGTAGAACCCCTCACTGAGATTGTTGTGTAAGAAGGGAAACATTTGAGCAGGATTTAGGGAAACAGTGGGTTCAGAAATTCTACAGGCCACTTTTTAAATAGGAATGTTAGATTGCTCTTAACCCTATGAAGGGATACTCAACTGCATTCATAGTAAGGCAGTGGGTATTAAAACTTTGCAAAGGTAGACTTTTTTTACTTTTCACGTACACAGAACAGAATCAGATGCTCACATGAATTTTTTTTTTTTTAATTTTATTTATTCATCAGAGAGAAAGAGCAGAAGCAGGGGGAGCGTCAGGCCGAGGGAGAGGGAGAAGCAGGCTCCACGCTGAGCAGGGAGCCCGATGCGGGACTCAATCCCAGGACCCTGGGATCATGACCTGAGCTGAAGGCAGATGGGTAACCGACTGAGCCACCCAGGCATCCCATAGATGCTCACATAAATTCTTATGGGAGTATAAACTGGTACAATCCTTAGGGAGAGCAATTTGGTACTATCTTTTAAAACTAACACTACACACTCCCTTTGACCCAGCAGTTCCGCTTATAGGACCTTATCTTGCAGATAAGCTTGCATGTGTGTAGAATGACACAGACAGTGGGAGTTATCTGTGTCACTTGTAAGAACATCACAGCGTGGAAACAGCACAAAAGTCTATCAGTAGAGTACTTGTTAAAGTTTTCTAATTCATGTTAGTAGATTATCGTGTGGCTATTAAAAAGAAAGAGACAAAAAGGTATTTGTAATATGTAAAATCTGTAAAGGAATCACATCCAGATTAAATAAAGAACTTCAAGTCAGTAAGAAAAGGACAAGCAGCCTATTAGGAAGGGATGTATAGGCATTTCAGAGGAGAGGAAACACAGGTCTCCCCCGAAACAGATGAAGACATCTTCAAACTTATTAGTAATTAGGGAAATTTCAATGAAAATCGTGAGATATCCTTTTGCATTCATTGGATTAGTAAAAAAATAAGAAGTCTTTAGGCCCTAGTGAAGGTCAGGAAGTGATGGGACTGTAAAATGGAACAGCCTGGTAAATGTGACCTTGTAAAGCTGAACATACTTGCGTCGTGACTAGCTGGTTTGGGATTGGTGTATTCCTGTGTTGTCACTGGCTTTTAACAGTCGGGTGTTATTCTCAGCTAGACTAGGAGTGCAAGTCCCAGGACTCGAGTGACTGTGCAAACTGGAAAGCAAGTTTGCTGGATTTTAATACCATTTATTCTTTTTCTTTTATTGCATTCTGGGTCATTATTCTTTCCTCATGGGGCACCAGTGTCATTTTTACCCTTGAGCTCCCCCGTCTTGATCATACTAAGTGATAAGCATACTAAAAGTTTTAGATGAGAGCTTATCATGTGGGATATAAGAGAAAGGAATTAGATTCAGAAATCATTTTCAGTTATAAAAATAATCCACATTTATAAAATCTCTATTTAAATAAGAACACTGTATTATTTTATTCAGGCTACCATAATAAAGTACCATAGAGTGGATGAAGAACGGAGAACTTTATTATTCCCAGCTGGGAAGGCTGGGGAGGCCCGATGGAGGTGTCAGCCAGTTTGGTTCCTGGTATAGACTTTCTTCTGGCTCTTAATAAGGTCATCAGTCCTATCAGATTAGGGCCCCACCCTTATTTAACCACCTCTTACAGTCCCTGCTTGCAAATACAGTCCCGTTGGAGGTTAGGGCTTCAACATATGAACTTAGTAGGAACACAAACATTCAGTCCATAGCAAACGTCATTCCACTTTAAAGAAACAGCCCAGAATTCCACCGAGACAGTTGCAAACCCTGCTTGAATGTTCTAACTGGATTGTGGGGGCTAGTAATCTTTTATTACTAAGTTATACCAATTTTTGCTTGTCTGCCAAAAAACATGTTTGTGTCGGTCTAAGAGTAGAATATCCCTGAAGTCTGCTCTCCTCTCCATCATATCCATGGTCTTTGTGATGATAAATGCAACCCCCTTCATTTCAGTTGTTTTTAATCTCTGCCTCTCACAGTTTTAACATTATGGTATTTTCATCAAAGTTAGTTTTGATTGCTTACCTGTTTTACTCTTGACTGAATTTCTTTTATTCTACATGGATGTAGTCATCCTTTTTTTCCCACAGGGGTCGTAATAACTTCTTTGAAATGCTTCCAGTTCTTGTATCACAGAATGCACATATTTAACTACAATTTATTATTATTATTATTATTAGAGGCCCATGTTGTGGTTATGGTGACTTTCTACCCCTATTGTCTTTTAAAATTGTTTACATAATATTGAATGGTTCTCTTTTATATTTAGGTCTTCAATAAACTCATCAGGAGATATAAATATTTGGAAAAAGCATTTGAGGATGAAATGAAAAAGGTAAAAATTCAAATGTAATGCCTTATCTGTATAAAGTAATGAAATGGAGAGGGAGAAAAATTTTACATATAGAATGATAGTGCAGACGTACCATGGACATAGTAAGTTTTTAATAAATGTTTCTTGAATGAATGAGTGTGACAGATCATTAGCTAATAGCTATAGGGTAAAATACATGATTAGCCTAGACTTTGTTCATTCATGTTTAATGTAAGACAGCACGCTTTATTCCATAGGAATGGTTTTATAGCATCTGATTCCTGACCTCGCAGGGCTTAAAATAAAAACTAGAGATTCCAAATATGCAAGAAAAATGATTATATCAAGCGAAGAGTTGAGGTATGTGATTTAATCAGTTCAAGCATGTGAAATAATATATGGACAGCAGCTAATAACCAGCAAAATTCTTTAATTTCCAAAAATACAGTTTAGCAAAGGGAATAAAAGCATTTCTTGGGAGATAATATGTGAATGTCAATCTCAGTGATGTTTGTCATCTGTAAAATAGCTGCAATAAGATGACATACCTCATGGTTTTGTAGGAATAAATGAGATAACATATAAGGTGGTTGATAGAGTTAAGTGGCCTCTAGTAAGTAGGGAAAGAAATAGTAGCACCTCATTAAAGAAGCCCTGCTTTCAGTAATTGCAACATGTTCCCTCTTCCAATTTCTAACTCTTGTGTGTATATATTTAGCACTCACTGCATTAACTTGTTACAGATTTGCACGTTGCTTTTTCATTGTTTCCAATTTTAGATATCTGCCTAAATTATAAACCAAGAGAGTAAAGTAACCATAACATCTACTTTGCTACTTAAGTACTTGCTTCCCCCTATTCAAAGTGAATACCTAACCGCCCCCCCCACCCCCCGCCAAAAAAAGTGGATCCATACATTATGGAAGATTGTGATAGTAAAATCTTGAAACAATGAAGGGTAGCCACTTAAATTGATTAGGGAGAATGCCCATGATAAATTGGAGAAGGTGCAAAGCAGCCATTTGGTGGTTTAACCTCAGGCAAATTACTTAAATTTCTATAATGCCTCAGTTTACTTTTCTGTGAAATGAGGATCAAGGCTTTTGTAGGTATTGACACACAAAGTATTCAGAAAAATAGCTGGTACCCTTGACAAGTTTTAGCTGTTAGGAATGTATAATTCAGTTAAAACAATACATGTTTATATATATAGTTATTTATAGTATGTAGACCTATATAAGCGCATTTAAAAATCTGGAAGGACACCCATTAAACAGCTAATGTTAATTCTAAGGAAGCAGGATTAGAGAGGAGATCACATTTTTATTATTCTGTAGTGGTAGATTTTACTCTTACTATTGTGTATTAAAACTTTTTTAAATAGGAAAAAATTTAAATGGGAAAAAAATGTGATCCATTACATTGCTGGGTGCCTACAAAAAAAACAAGCACTTGATTAAATAAGGGAATGGAAATAATGGGGGGAAATATGTAAAGCATTTAAATAAACACTTTACCACTTTTGTCTAATAATACCATTCATGCTTTACTTCTCTTAGCTCATTTGCACCTTGAAAACTTCCTTAGCTATTATATTCATGTGATGAATATGCTTCCAAGAACTATTTATTTTTCACAGTATATCCATTTTTCAGGGAATGTTCTGGACTATACGCAGCATCTGATTTTAACATTGATTAATATAATTGATCAATGTGAATATTAATTTAAAAAATCTAACTTTTGCCCTATTTTGTTATAATGGAGTATTTTTAATGAATGTGGGTATATTGATGTGCTTAAAAAGTAGTGTTTAAAAGTTTATTTTGGAAGCCATTTTTCATTATTCACTTGAGTCTTAATCATCTTTACAATCCGAGGAAAAGGCCAAACTGATGTGAAGTGTCTGTGATTTTGTCAGTCCTTTTACTCTGCCTCATTCCTGATGTTCCCTGGAGCTTTACCCATTGATGCTGTCATTCCCTCGGTGTTTTCTTATGAACATTGAAGGTGACTTTGTCTTTAATTCATTGAGACATAACCTGGGAGTTAAATGGACTAGTTTGATTCCAGCTCTGCCACATACTCAAATATCTAGAGTCACATAACTTATCTGTAACGTACTAATCCTTTAACTGTCTGGGATAGTAAATTAATATCACCCTACGCAATGCACAGAGATAATGGCATTTTGTTGGTGCAAAGTAATGAAAAAGTCAGCAAGGCCCCAATAGTGATAGTGAGCCCTGGTGATCTTGGTAACATGCCCAAGGACTATGAAACAGAGAAGATAGTCATAGAATAGGGTCAAAGCACTAGGTGGGGGAGCCTTAGGAAAGAGGAGGGCATTGCACATGACTCAATACTCTTAGAATTAAAAATGGGAAGTGGGGTATAATCCCCTTTGCTTTGGTTTTTCTTTAACCATTCTGGGGTTGCTACTTTTTCAATTACCCCTCCAAAATTGCTCTTTCCAGCTCGTATCAGTGGCCTTTTCTCCATTAAGAACTTGGGTCAGATCCTCCATTACCTGATCACCAGGGCTGGTAAAGCTGCATGATCCAAGAAATACCAATTTGAGTCTTGTTATTTTTAAAAGAGCATCAAGAACTTTCCTCATTAGGAAACCCCTTTCTCACTCAACAGTCTTGTTTTAAAGAATATTATATGCTCTGAATTCAGAAAAACATATGCTGATGTCAAAGCTTATTGACTTTTTCCTGTTTTTTTGTTCATTGTGCTATAACAAACCCAAAGAAAATGGGTAGATGTAGTGGGGGGACCCCAAAAAAATAAAAAATGTGAAGGACAATAATCTATTTCAGTAAATGTTATGCTCATCATGTAAAACTTACCCTTTGTTCTGTACAAAGTCAGATGTAAATTTTTTATGTAACCTATTCACACTGTTCTCCAAATATCTCTTTTTGTTCCCGTGGATGTTATCTATAGCTATGTGTAGGTAAACTTGGAAGAAAGGAACCATGCCTGAGAAAGTCACTTTCCTTAGCATCCAGTTTCTAAGTGAACAAATGTATGTGTTTCTAATGAATAATAACTGTGCTCTGCATCTGATCGACTAGTTCTTCACCATCTAGCCATGCATGTGTATTCTGTTTGTTATTTTCCTACTTTAGTCCTTTGCTTTATAGACATGGTTTCTTTTGTTTGACCCACAGCTTCTCCTCTTCCTTAAAGCCTTTTCCGAAACAGAGCAGACAAAGTTGGCAATGCTGTCGGGGATCCTGCTGGGCAATGGCACCCTTCCCGCCACCATCCTCACTAGTCTGTTCACCGACAGCTTAGTCAAAGAAGGTAATTGCTCTCATGTTTTCTTGCCTGGCAGATGTAAAACGTAAAGCCACATATGGTTAGAGAAACACCAGCACCTCTTCTTACTGTGTTCTGCTACCCACTCATCCTCCATGTAAGAAAATTTGTGTTTATCTTTAAACAATACAAATTGTACGTGTTTCTTGTAGGGAATTGGAAGAAAGAATATACACTTGTACAAAGACAAAAACTAATAATAAACTGAAATTTATGGTGTAAGACTTAATGCCTAGTTCAAATACCCTGAAGTTGATTCAGTCTAAGCTCTTTCTCTCAATTAAGTTGGTACTGGCATATTTTGCTGGGAAAATGCTTCATTGTGCTTTGTGGGACATTTAACCTTTTTGCCCTCAGACACAAAATGCCAGCATGTAGCACCCACCTCTATTTAGTATAACGTAAAAAGGCCCCTTCATGTTCCCAAATGCCCCTCTCCCCCGCCCCGAATGTTTATTTCCCTGGTTAGGACCATTCTTCTAAACCATTACTTCTCAAAATCTTGTGTTCAGATGTTCATTTTGATCACATTTTAAGATATTCATTATCTCAGTTTTAGAAAGAAAGTCCAGATGGTTGCATCAAAGTCTTGCTTTAATTTTAAGGCATTAAGAGTTTCATAGGCATGTATACAATCACTTGGTTATAGAATACAACAAAAGTGGGCTCTTGGAGGAGGATAATGATATTCGAGTTATAATGCAACACAAAACAAAGAGTTATTTTTTTCTTAAAAATAAAAGAGCTTTTGTGAAAACATCTGTTTCTTCTTAGAACTTAGTTTTTCTCCTACAAATGTTGAAGTCCCAGCCTCGTTCATGCCTGCAGTGAAATGGATTATAGTTTTCTTGTAGCTGAAAAAAGATTAGTAAATTGAAAGTCAAGCAATGTTATTTATTTAGGGATTTTCTAGAGTTTTTGAATTAACATAGTTTAGATTTATGACAGTTCAGATTCTGTGATTGTTATTAGTGTGTTGTTAATATTATGACATTTTAAAGTATTTTCCTGAAGAGAATTGGTGATATTTCACATCTTATTTATGTTGTGAGCCATTTTACACTTAGATAAAACAAGGTAAAATGTAAACAGTAAATGTTAATTATATTACATTATCCTAGCCTTTATAACAGAAAATAATTGTCTTTCTGGTTGTATTAAAATCCTTCATGATATGTACAAGTTCCTTTGCAGTGTATCAAAAATAATTATATAGACAGACAGACAGTGATGAAGCAAGTATAAAATATTAACAGGTATAAAACTTAGATAGTGGGGGGGTGCCTGGGTGGCTCAGTGGGTTAAGCGTCTGCCTTCGGCTCAGGTCATGATCCCAGGGTCCTGGGATCGTCCCACATCAGGCTCCTTGCTCACTGGAGGTCTGCTTCTCCCTCTCCCTCTGCTGCTGCTCCTACTTGTGCTCTTCCTCTCTTTCAAATAAATAAAATCTTAAAAATAAAATAAAATTTAGATAGTGGCTATATGAGTGTTTACAGTTCAGTTTATTCCATTTTTCTGCATATTTGAAATTTTTTATATTGAAATTTCAGGAAAGGGGGAGAAGAAAAGTACATTTGCTATGGAGGTGACATAGTGCTGTGTCATATAGTTTTTTCTTATACTCCACCATCTTTAGAAACTAGAGGCTTAAACTTTTGCTTCCTAAATAGGAACATATTGATAAATTACACTTTTTCCCAACCCCACACCCAACAAATAGCTTCGGAGGATAGGATTATCCCACTCAGGAAAATCTTGAGTACAGAGAGAAATTTCCCAAATTTTCCAACAAGAACCACTGTTAATGCAAAGTGATAGGTTTAAGCCAAGATTTGGATTCCTAGTTTAAAACATTACTTTATTTCTAGTGAAATACAGATCATACCACATTTTAAATTTTATTTTGATTTAATGACATAAATATATACTAAATTTTACACTCACTTGGTCAACTGAGAGTGTTAAAAACTCATGTCAACAAATATAAAATCCTCCAGCTTGTAACCCCTGTGTTATTGTCCTAGCCATAGTTTCTGGTTGGTTTTTTTTTTTTTTTTCTTTTTTTCTTTTTTGACTAGTTCCTCTGCTTATTCAAATGAAGAAAATTGGACAAAGTTAGTGCTTGTATAAATGATATATCAACTGGATGCTTTAACTTGCAACTAACTCGAAGACAAGACTCAGATTGTTGGATAAGAACATTTGTTGGCATACAAGAACATTTATTTCTCATGTAACAAAAAAATATAAAAGTCGGGTAGACTTCAGGGTGAAACAACAATGTCATCCAAGTCTTGGATATTTTCTCCCGTTATTTCTCGCTACCGTTCATAGCATCAGCTTCACCCCAGGGATGATTTCCCTGGTCACTGTAAGATGTCTGCTGGTACAGTTAATGCCACATGCTCTCTTGTTCAGATTCAGTGGGAGAGGAATGCTCAACATAGGATAGTTTATCTTGCCTTCAGCTGATTGGCTGCCGTAGGCCACATGACTAGTTTTGGCCAAGTAGCAGTTGCCAGGGAGATGCCCTGGGCAGATGGGCTTCTGGTGAGGTCTCTAAACTAATCATTGCAGAAGGAGCGGTACCAGGACTTGGACTAGAAGCCACCTGGCCTAAGCAAAATTGGAATTCTCTTAGGAAAGAGGAAAGGGGAATAGAGCTTCTTAGACCAATAATAGTGAAGCCTTCAATTGAGAAAAATCAGTTTAATATTTTAACTACATTTTAACTCTTCATTCAGTAAATGTAACATTAACTTGGAAATTTGAAGTGTTCACAGGAGAACTGTCTACCAGCGATTGTCACTTATATTTGGAAATAAATCCTAATGTCAGTATGGATATGTAATTGAGTGGATTTCTGATTAACATAGCTCTTTTAGTCATCTCTTTAAAAATACCAAGAAAAAAGTTCAATTTGATACAGCATCAATATTTTTATAGCTTAAGTCATGAGTATTTTCAAATGCTTTTTACAAAAGTAAAATTGTAAGGTAAATAGTGTACTTTCTTGTATAGCTTTATTTATATCCATCACTATTAATGGTTCTTAACTGGTATCATTTATCAGCAAATTAGTTGACATGTTACCATTTCATTTTATGTCTCAAGATCTGTTTGTTGTGCCTCAGGATCATTGTTATACACATGAAATTTTGGTGAGCCACAGGGTGAAGTAGAGGCAAAAGACACTAGAAAATACTGGGTTTTAAATGTGTTTTGAACCAAGGTAAAAATAAATAAATAAATTTACAATTATACCAGGTTAGAATCAGGGAGACCCACTTTGAAAAATATTTTGACTCTTTTTCCTTCTCATGAAAATGCTCTCTTTTGAGTAATGAAAATAAACTGTGCCTAATGAAGAGAATAGAACTGTACCTAGAGAGCTGTCTGTTTTACCTCTACCAAATCAAGTCTTTGAGCAGTTAACTCACTTCAGGACACCGAGTGGGCAGGGTGGCCTTGTCCATCATCACAAGTGGTTTTGCTTAGGAAAGGAATGAAAACTCACTTTTTTCTTTCCCCCCCCCTTTTTTTTTTAAACAGGCATTGCAGCCTCATTTGCTGTCAAGCTTTTTAAAGCATGGATGGCAGAAAAAGATGCCAACTCTGTTACCTCTTCTTTGAGAAAAGCCAACTTAGACAAGAGGCTGCTTGTAAGTGTTGTCTAGACAAGGGGTTGTATGCTTCATGCTTCGGTCGTGGCTTTGACGATGCATGACTGAGATGCTTGGGTCTGTGTTAAATTGGAACATGGTTCCTTTTATTTCTGTATATTTGGCAGATTGAAACGAATTCCATCTCCATCTTTATTTAAAAAAATGGAATGATAAAATTAAAGAGACCAATGAGACTTTCAAATTTTGTCGTTTGTTGAGACTGTTAACATTTATCAGAATTAACACTTTCTTTTATAACTATATAGATTTAAAGTTGTAATATTAAAAAGTCCCATCAATCCTACCTAATTAAACATTTATGTGTTAGGTTAGAGATGGATGACACTGATCTCATGTAGTTGTTGATTTGTTAACTAAATAAGAGTTTAAACAGGATTCCTTGTTTATACCAAAATACTTGGAAATACTTAGGTATTTAAGAAAGCAGGTAAGTTTATTATGGTTGATTTGAAGCTCTGATGATCACGGATTGATTATATTTTTATTTCTCTGCCTTTGTTTTTCCAAAAAAAAAAAGCAAAAGAAATATCTTCTTCTTACATTTCTATCTGCTCCCTGAAATTTCTTTCTGCTAGAAGCAACAGCTATGCAGATGACAGAGATTTCTCCAAGTGACATTGCTTTTACAATCTAGAACAAAGTCTAAAACTGAAAGACACCCTTGCCATCTTCTGTTCACCTGGTCTCTCCTTTGTTTTTCACTTCTGAGGTGTTCTAGTGTGCACGGGTATCTGTCAGTCTGTAGGGTAATTCTAAAAATGGGCTCTTCCCCTCAGGAAACCCAAGAATAATTTTAACGGTAAATGCTTATGCTTTTACTTTCAATCATTTAAAATTCCTTTGTCTCTTGAAGTTTACCTTAAAATAGCCCTTTTGGGTCTTTAAAGTCTTTAGAATGCAATAAAGAAGAAGAATGAAAAAGTGTAGAATTTAGTTAATTTCTGCCGCTGATAATAATTTTTAGTCAGCATATGTTTGAGTGTCTGTTCTGTGCCAGGCATGGCCCTAGAAACTGAGGAGGCGGGAGAGAACAGGATAGAAAAGTTCCCTGCCTTCAAGAACCCACTTTCTCATGGACTTAGGGTAGATCCTTGTATACAGAAGGAGAAATCATAAGTGACTAGGTGGGCTCAGCAGGGTGGAAGCTTACGTGAAGGCAACATATTCTTGTCCCTGAGTCTGTAGATTAGCTGTATCTGGGCCAGGTCCCCCTGTGATCCATACACCTTTTCATTCTGAGACCCAGCCTGCAGGAGCACCTCCCATGTGGGCCGTTCTGTCCTCATGGCGAAGGACAGGAAACAGAAGTGAATCACTCCAGTGCATTAAAAGCTCATCTTCTACTGGCCACAAGAAGTGATAGTGAAGCCTGGCAGGGGGGTGGGTGGGAAAGCTCATTCAATCATAGCCTACTATTCCACTTCCACAGACAGACACAGCAAGGAGGGGCATCTCTCAATACTTATTTAAAGGAGAGGGGCAAATGATTAGGAACAAATATACAGTCTATTACAACTTGCCACAGAAGACTTATTAATGCGTGCTTCCTTAAAGATGCCAATAGGCAGAGCTTGGTTAACTTAATTAGGTCACTTCATAAATTCTTTTTAAATGTCTTACCTTAAAAAAAAAAAGTCTTTCCTTTTTTGAAAAATATATCATTTAACTGTTCCTACTAGGTTTCTGTGTCTGCATATATTTGGGGTATGAGAAGCACAGGTAGAAGTTTCTACCAGAAACACTGTAAGCTCGGGGAGGGGAGGGTAATCCTCTGTGGACCCTGCTTCCTGATATTTGCTAACTCAGTAAATGAATGAGGAACTAGAGGGTCAGTTTCACCGTCAAGGAGAACATTTTTGTTTCCTTAACACAACAAAATTCTCTCTGGCTGTGTACTAGTACATTTTAGGGAAAAAAACGTTATCTCAGAGGTTAGCAGTTACTCACTTCTGTAATACAGAGGCAATAAAAATTTATAGCAACTCTGAAAAGGGGATGGAAGGCAACAGACGAAATCAACCATTAACTAATAAAAAATGAAAAGTGCTATGAGGAAAAAATTAACTACGGAAGCTCTAAGGAGCGTCAGAGAAGCATGCAGCTTTCAGTGGTAGGGGAAGATCTCTCTGACAAGGTAACATTTGTGTAAAGACTTGAAGGAGGTAAGGAGTGAGCTATCTAGATATCTCTAGGCTTTGGGGCATGGCATGTTGGGGACAGAAAGAGGAAGAGTGTTTGGTAAGAGCAAAAGTATAGACCAGCTCAGTGATGTAGCAGGTCCCATATCATCTAGTAACTTTGGCTTTTATTCTGAGTCAGATGGAAAGCTTTTGGGAAATTCTCAGCAGAACTGTGCATAATGTGTTTAGGGTCTAAACGGGATCACTTTGGCTTTGCTTTGGGAATAGACTCAGAAGCAAGAGCAGAAGCAGGGAGACCTTAATCTGATGGATGTTTGTACGTGGGTAGGGTTTTTCTAGCAAACACAAACCATGTTCCAAGCCAGTAAATGTCATGATAGGATTCAGACTGGCTTGACTTCAGTTTAATCTGAATAATAATCTACAATGCCATTTATTAGGACTTTGGATATAGTTCATAAATAAGCCACCAGTAATATATTTGATGCCATATTGCTCTGAACATAACTTTAGATCAAACTTTGCAGTCCCATTCTTCCTAAATCGAATACTGAATGCCAGCATGGGGTAACAGAATAATTATCGGCCATGGGCGTACTCAGCTATGTCCTTAAATATATCTGGCTGCATAATTTGGCTCAAGCTACTTAGCCTGTTGAGACTCAATTCATCCTCTGTAAAAATTTTTACATTACATAATTATGAGGAGAATGCCCACTGCATTTTGATTCACAGAGGAAACTCAAATTTGTTCCCTGCATCCCAAATTTGGAAGACCTCTTGAACGGGAGAACAAATGTCGTGGCAGAATTTTAGTCTGATATGAAATGTTTGCTTTAACATGAATGTGTGTTTAATAGCTGGTCCCACCAACTCTTCTGACATTTTAAAACTTATAACTCAACAAGGGAAGTTTTGGGATGATGATATAGAGAATATTGAAATTTGAGTCCTGTCATAGAAGGCTTTGGCTCTGTCCCTGTACGTGGTGGCAAACCTATTACAGATTTTTCTACTGAGATTTTTTACTGGAGCCATATAGACACTGACCATACATACATGTGCAAATCTAACCACCATAAAAGTTTGGATCTATTTTTTTAGACTGCAGCAGTCTGAAAAATGTGAGAGCTTTGAAAACTGTCTTAATATCTTAGTTGGGTGTTGAAATCACACAGGATTAGAACATGACTAAGTGTTACTGAGATTCTGCCAAGCTGTGTAAGGTAAAATGGAAATGAGGTAAAAAATATGCAAGCAGCCATGCTGTATTGCTCTCTTTAAAAATTTCCAACAGAATTATGTAATGAACTGAAGAGTTTGGTAAGGTGGGTTTAGATTAGATCTTACTGTGACTTCATTTAGAGCCACCATCATTAACAGATAAGAAAAAATTCTCTTTAGCTCCAAGCTAGTATTAGAATAATAGCATTTTCTCAGAATGTGAATAGAGGTTCTTGAGGTAATAGTCAATGTTGTTTCTCTAATGTTATCTCAAGTTATCTCAGCATTATTAAAACTGACTTTTGTCTATTAACTCATAAGTTATCATGTTATTTGCATTTAATTTAGCAAGATTACTTTTGTATTCATACAGCTACACTCTGATTAAAGTGGAAAAAAAATAAATAATGGTTCAAAATGGGTGAAGCCAGTTTATGTAAGTTGTTTAGCATTTTTTTCGCTTTCTCTGTAAAACTGCCTAATTTTAGAAGGTGCTTAGCGAATGCTCAAGAAATATACCCAAGATTTATTCTTTTGACAATCATTCTCTGTTCTCGTGTTCCAAATACGAGATATTCTAAGTGCTGCTTTTTGTTTTTCTGTGTTTTTTTTAAGATTTTATTTATTTATTTGACAGAGAGAGACACAGCGAGAGAGGGAACACAAGCAGGGGGAGTGGGAGAGGGAGAAGCAGGCTTCCCGCGGAGCAGGGAGCCCGATGCGGGCCTTGATCCCAGGACACCAGGATCATGACCTGAGCCGAAAGCAGACGCTTAACAAAGGCAGATGTTTAAGGACTGAGCCATCCAGGCGCCCCATCTAAGTGCTGTTTTAATACGAAAATGTTGTCCTTTAGGCGTGCTGAAATTTGAATGGTTTTTTTGTGTAACAGTCTTCTTCCTTTTGTCTTTCAGGAGCTCTTTCCAGTTAATAGGCAGAGCGTGGATCATTTTGCTAAATACTTTACCGACGCAGGCCTGAAGGAGCTTTCTGACTTCCTCCGCGTCCAGCAGTCCCTGGGCACCAGGAAGGAACTGCAGAAGGAGCTGCAGGAGCGTCTTTCTCAGGAATGCCCAATCAAGGAGGTGGGAAACCATCAGCTTCCATCACCACAAAACCCATGCATGAGAGGAATAGTGTGTGTCGCACAGGCTTGACCTTCCTAAAGGAGACCTCCATTTGTCTACTTAATGTGAACTTTGTGTACTTGTGTATACCATTTAAACTAGCTCAGTGTCAAAGTTTTGATTGAGAATCCTCTAGCATGTTCCAGAAATGAATGGTCATTTCCACACAGTTGACGTATTTTATCTGGTGACTGTGATGAGCAAAATAAAAATAGTTCATCTGGGCGCCTGGGTGGCTCAGTTGGTTAAATGACTGCCTTCGGCTCAGGTCATGATCCTGGAGTCCCGGGATCGAGTCCCACATCGGGCTCCCGGCTCAGCAGGGAGTCTGCTTCTCCCTCTGACCCTCCTCCCTCTCATGCTGTCTGTCTCTCATTCTCTCTCTCGCAAATAAATAAATTCTTAAAAAAAAATAAATAAAATAGTTCATCTACCAGATAGAGTTGCCATCCACTATCAGTATACACCATTATATGGTGGTTTTTCCATTTTATCACAGATAATATAATATGGTTAAGTATATGGTTAGTGTTTGAAATCAACACTGGGTATTTCATGGATCACCGTGTATGAATATGTAGAGTTTTTTCTTTTTTTTAAATTTTAAGACAAATTTTGATGGTTTTTGAATTCATATCATGGGAAAAGACCAGTTGGACCAGTGGCTTGTTGGATCACATTCACTGTAGCTGGGTATTCCTGTAAATATAAATACTACATTTTTTTATAACAGTAGTTCATAGAGCTATGACTGTATCTTTTTAATTTTTTAAAAAACTCCTGTCTACAGAAAACTTCCTATTTGAACTTTAACATTTTTACATGCTAATCCAAAATTAAATCAAGTCCTTTCCTTTTGCCATTTGCTTCCAAGTCCCAAACCCTTAGCACTCTGCATGCTCTAAGCCCCACACGGCACCTTACGTGGTTTGAATGGAGAATTCCAGACCGATGCTATCCAGCAGATGGAGGTGTTGGGACAAAAAATATTTCTAAGTCTCATGGCAGTAAGGTCAGCAATATACTGAGTAACATTTTCCAAGCAAGAACTTGAACATGATTTTCCATGGAGGGAAAAAAAAAAGCAAAACCAAAAAACACTGTGATGCTTCTGGACACAAAGGTGTCACCTGTCTTTGCAGCTTGCTTCAGCCAGCTCAGGCACTGGGACTTCCCAGTTCCTTCTGTTCTCGAACGTCACTTAACCCGTTCCTGACACCTCTGTATCCCAGGCCAGGGGGGACGAAAACGATGTCTTTTCACTAGCGAGCAAGGAGGGGGGAGGAGTTGTGCTATTCACAAAGTAATAGTATCCTTGACATAGATTATGGTGTTTAATCACTTTTGAGGACCTAACCTGTCTTTGTGATTGTATTTCAAAAGGAAAAAAAATTTCTCCAAACAAGTTTGGTATAAAATATATTAAGCTGGGCAGACCTTTTATTCCATGCCATCAGATTTGAGGATAAATTGGAAAATAACCTGTCCAGAGTTGCTGCATTGATATGTATCATATAAAAAACATTGCCTTTGCACTTGACAGTTTATTCACATGGGGCATGAGGGTCATCAAAAGTAATCATTAAGGAATAAATTGTGGTGAATGGACTTGGACAAACCCAAGCCATTATTCATCAAGGGGTTTAAAGTTGAGAGTCTGAGGTAAAGATTCACAGCTCCGTTGCCTTGTTGAAAGCCCAGGGAATCAAACCGGCTCAAGTAATCGGCTCTGTGGGACCCAGAGGGGTTGCTGCAAGTAAAAGAATTACCTTCTCAGAAACAAAGATTCCCTCTTATTTCCTCTTCCCTAGCATCTCCTGGCCAGAGCCGAACCTATTAATTTTTGGACTAAATATAAATGTGCTTTGAGAACAAATCATTGTGTTTTTCCTCCCTCTTGTAATATGAGAATAGGTACCAGGAAAGGAGGGACAGAGCTGAATATTTATCCACCCAAAGCCTTTTACTAACCAGGCACAGTGAGAGGGAAACTCCCATCTGCCTGTTACTCTCTGACCCCCTTCTCCATGAAATGTAGGTGGTGCTCTATGTTAAAGAAGAAATGAAGAGGAATGATCTTCCGGAGACAGCAGTGATTGGACTTCTGTGGACCTGTATAATGAATGCCGTTGAATGGAACAAGAAGGAAGAACTGGTTGCAGAGCAGGCCCTTAAGCACCTGAAGGTACAGGGTCAACAGGGAACAGTCTTGGCTGCAGACCAATTGCAGCTCTTAACTGTATGCATGACACGTGCGTTCTAGCTGCAGTTCACCCAGGTTTAGGCCAAAGATAGATTTCCTGGTGTTTTGGTTTTTTTGTTGTTAGTTTTTTTTTGTTTTTTTATTTTTGTTTTTTCAAATTTGCCACTACCTAAAATGTCTCAGATGTAAGAGCCTATGAAATATATTGTAGAGTAAGTTCTTACTAAATACAGCGTCGGGCACCTGGGTGGCTCAGTTGCTTAAGCGTCTGCCCTCGGCTCGGGTCATGATCCAAGGGCCTGGGATGGAGCCCCGAGTCAGGCTCCTTGCTCAGCGGGGAGTCTGTTTCTCCCTCTGCCCTTTCCCCTGCTCATGGTATCTCTCTGTCTCTCAAATAAATAAATTAAAACATCTTTAAAAAAAAATAAACACAATGTCTAAAAATTCACAGACTAATCATATATTCAGTATTTAAAGTGAAAAAGAAATATGGTTAACTATTGTTTTTTGGTTTTTTTTCATTCTACATGACAAAAATTCTTGGTAATATTTTTAAGTACACTACAGATTGGTATTAGAATTTGAAAAGTATCTGAGTGGTGGAAGAAATCAATTCATTGTGTAAATTGCATGTTTTTGTGCATGGATACATCTTTTTGCTCTTATTGTTGTCTCCCTATAAAACTATATTAAGGTGAGTGAAAGACTTAGATCCTTCCTACAGAGTTTACATTTGAACTGATAAGTCAAAGACTACCTAGTAGGAACTAGGTAGAATATAAATTAAAGATAACTCTCAGCATTTAGAACAGAGCAGTGATGGGATGCCTGGGTGGCTCAGTCAGTTAAGCGTCTGCCTTCTGCTCAGGTCATGATCCCAGGGTCCTGGGATTGAGTCCCGCATTGGGTTCCCTGCTCGGCAAGCAGCCTGCTTCTCCCTCTCCCTCTCCCTCTGCCTGCCACTCCTCCTGCTTGTGCTCTCTCTCTCTCTGACAAAGAAAATCTTTAAAAAAAGAAAGAAAGAAAGAAACACAGCAGTGAGTAAAATCTGCAGGTCAAGTTGATCTGGGAAGGCTCCTCGGAGGAGATTCGTGTTGAACTGTGTTAAGTCTTAAGAGAAAACAGTGGCTGTACATCAGTGACTAGAAACAAAGGACAGTTGGGACAAAGGGAATAATAGGAACAAAACCACAAAGATGACCTGGGGCGGGGCAGGGGCGGGTCTGGGATGTCTGGGGAAAGAGAACCCCACACTCCACCAATACTAATCTGGCCACTCCAAGGCCTCACTCTACCTTCTTTTTTTTTTTTTTTTTTAATTTTATTTATTTATTTGACAGAGAAATAGAACCAGAAAGCACAAGGGGGAAATGGCAGAGGGAGAGGGAGAAGCAGGCTTCCTGCTGAACGAGGAGCCCAACGCAGCCCAATCCCAGGACCCTGGGATCATGACCTGAGCTGAAGGAAGACGCTTAACAACTGAGCCAACCAAGCACCCCTCTACCTTCTTTTCATAGTGCCCATTAGACAGACGTAGTAACACCACCTTTAAAGTCAGAATTTCATATTTGGTCTCTTCTTTTAGCGGGTACAGTGAGAGAAATCTGGTAAGATGCTAGGATAAAAAATTAATTTTGACTGGACACAATGTTATAATAATAATAAGATAGTCCTAAAAGTGAATGCTTTCTAAGCACATCTCCAGATTTCTGCTGCGATTCAAGTATTGTTGGCCCTGTACCTCCCATGAAAATTAATGGTTGATTTTACTCCCCACTTCTGTTCCAGCAATATGCTCCATTGCTGGCTGTGTTCAGCTCTCAAGGCCAGTCAGAGCTGATCCTCCTCCAGAAGGTTCAAGAGTATTGTTACGACAACATCCATTTCATGAAAGCTTTTCAGAAGATTGTGGTTCTCTTTTATAAAGGTATCTCTCCATGTTGCTTTACCACTATGTTTCCATGTTTTATTGAAACTCTTTGAGGCCCAGCACAGGGGGTGAGGTAGAAGGGGACATTGGGGTCCATGCTATTTTTGCAAGTTTGAGTGAGGCAGCCATATTATGTGAAGAGAGAAAGTGCAAATGCCATATATACGTGATGAGGCCCCTGGGCACATTGCCAGGAGACTGGTGATAAACCGGTTATTATTTTTGGTGGGGAGGGATGGTGAAAAATACTGTAGTAACAAAAAGTAATTAGGTCTGCCTTTGAATTGTAAGGGTTAGCTCTAATAACAATGACTACCAAAGGCTGCCTATAGTATATTCTTCTCAGGTGCTATAAAGCTGACTAAAATTACTGAAATAATTAGCTTTTTACTTTGTATTTTAATTATTTGGCCCGACCATTCTCCTGTTTTTCAATGAAATTACTATTTTTAGATTTTTCACTTTACTGTCTTTTCATTGTATTTGTAAGGATTAGGTTGTCGTGGCAACTGACACTACCTTTAATAAATGAACGCTATTAGAATTTTAACTGCTCTCAATCTCTACACCTGTAGTATATAGAAAATGATCCTGGACTATTCTTTGGTCTGAGTTCATGCAGTTTTATGGGGGGCGGGGATGGGGGAGGGACGTGCACTGAAGAAATGATACATTTTGGACATTATAAAATGCTTATTAGAAGGTACTGCAATCTTAAATGGCAACTTAATATTTAAAAAAAAAAGTACAAATTAACATCACCAAATGTTTTTTTTCTTTTTGATGTGTTCTTAAATTTGTCTCTTTTGAATGATAATTTGGGCATGTGGAGTGTAAAAAATTTTACATTGTTGATTAATAGCTATTTTTACAATGTTCGAACGTCTCACAGAGTTTTAATTGGCCGTCCAGATTCTTCAGATTCATAGATCTTGCCCACGGGTGTTTGGGTGGTACTTTACTCTCTCGGCATTAAGGTACTCAGCACAGTTTTTATGTCAATAGGAGAACGTGCTGACTGCCAAGTCCATCTGAAGTTCAATAATTGGTGTTTTTCTCTGGCCAGATCCAAATGAGGTCCTCTTGGACATGGTCATGAGATATCAACCTCCTAAAACTAGGGCTTAAAGGACGCCCAAGGTGACCCATCAGAACAAAACCTGCAGGTCATATTGCCAACCCACTTGTGGTACCCAGCAGCCAAGGAGAAGCTGAGCCCAGCCAGCCCGTGGCCATTCTGTCTACACTGGCCATAGTTGACTCCATTGTAAACTGGTAGAGAGACCTGTGAGACAGATTTCACGTTCACTTTGTGAGTGGCCATTTTCCCCTACAGAAAAGCAAACTGTTTATAAACTAGTAGTCTAAGCACACAATTTACTTTCTTGTCACTTAATAGCTAACCCAACTAAACAGTGTCTGTAACCAAATCTTTTTGTAATTGAGATATACTGTTTAAGACGCATCTGCAGGAGCACCTCATTTTATTATTGGATTTACTTCACTCACACACAACTTTTTGTCAGTAATGGCATCTATTAAGATCCTTTTTCACATTTCTCATTTTAACCATTAATGCCAACATCTTCCCCATTGTGCTCCTTACAACAACTACTGATAACAGAACTGGTTGCTTTGAGTTATTTCCTATTCTTCAGCCCCAAATACTAAAGAACAGTGACCTGACATTATAAAGTAACCAAGAAGTGGGTACCAAGAAGTAAAAAGAAGAAGCATTAGCTTTTCCTTAGGCCTTTGATTTATTAGGTGGTCAGTTTTAAAATAATCAAAAATCAGGTCTGTGGAAAGTATGAGCAAACCCAAGGGAACACAGAAAGGTGACAACATCCGTTTTATCCTGGCTTAGTTATTTTTGCAGATGAAATCAGGGAACTGTAAAATGGCAGCTGAAAATACATCACTGAGAAGTGAAAACTAAATGTTATTTTCTAGGTAATTTCATAATTTCCCACAAAATTACACATATAGTCTGTTTTTCTGAATGAAGTAATTAACACTATTTTTTTCTCTTGGAAACATGGAATCCGCGAGGAACGATTTTTCCATCCTACTATTAAAATAATTACTGTGTTTAGCTTCTTACCTTTTTTGGATAGTAGTTTTTTCTTTGACCTAATTTCATCTGACAAGCACCTGTGCACCAGGAGATGTATGTTTTTTGTTTTTACAAGGACTTGGACGTTTTTTTTTTTTTAAGATTTATTTATTCGACAGAGAGAGACACAGCAAGAGAGGGAACACAAGCAGGGGGGCTGGGAGAGGGAGAAGCAGGCTTCCCTCTGAGCAGGGAGCCCGACGCGGGGCTCGATCCCAGGACCCCGGGATCATGACCTGAGCCGAAGGCAGACGCTTAACCAACTGAACCACCCAGGCACCCCAGATTTGGATGTTCTTGTTCTGTATTTGATCTGCCTAAAAAGGCATGCTGAACAGTGTGTATGTATTAATGCACTCTCGTCCCAATGCTGCTGCGTATATGAATCACCTGAGAGCTTGTTAAAACACAGATTCCCTGGGGATTCTGGTTCAGAAGGGCCAGGGTTGGGCCCACAAATTTGCATTTCAACAAATTTCCAGATGATGCCAAGACTTGGTCAGGACCAGTGGTCTAAAGGGTTATTGAATGCCAGAAGTGAAAAATTCTGTGAACTATAGTAACATATTCCAAGATTATACTTCTCATTAATTCCATGTACACATACACATTCAATAGATATCAAACAGTATCTTGTTTGCTTCTTTTATGTAGTGATGTGGGTTCCTTTTATTTATTGTAAGGAACATTTTGCTTTAAAGCAGGTTTTTTAAAATGTAATAGAAATAATTTCTCCTTTCCCATTTAATCTCTCTCTCTGTTTGTTATGTACATGCATACCTTCCCTGTCTTTCTAGAACTTGAGGATAACAGAAACTTGGAGATATGATTCCCCCTGTCTCCTTGACAAACCTGACTATTTTAAATGAATGCCATTATTGAAAGATTTTTTTAAACATGTAAATAACAAGGGAATAAAAGTGAATAAACTGTATGATAGTGCTTTTCAGAAATGAAAGAAAAAAGTAGAGATTGGTCCTTTAGTAAAGATTCACTTTCTGTATTAAAACCTAGATTTTTATATGTCTGTGCAATAGGAAAAATATTAAGTCCATCACTCATTTTCAGACATCACATTATTCACTTCTTAAAATAATTTTTCTTCTTTTCTTCCTAAAGCTAAGTATCATATTCTTAGCATGTGGATCTGAAAAATATTAGTCTCTTCTTAAGTACTGTCAGTACCTCTATCATGGATTGTATTATTTGCAGATATTTCTTAGGTTAAGTTCTGTTCCTCATGCATATTTTTCTGAAAGAAACTTTCTTTTCTCATCCTAAAAAAAAGTGAGTGAGCCTCTCACCATATATTCTCAGCATTCTTAAGGTAAACTGTTTTTGACTTGTGTCCCTTTGTGATATCCCTAATAAGATGAGTCTCTTAAATTCCAAGTGACATGGTTTTGGGGGTTTTTTAAATATATTTTTTAAAGATCTTATGTATTTATGTATTTATTTTAGAGAGAGAGAGGGTGCACGTACGTGTACAAGTGCGTGAGTTGGTGGGGGGGCGGACGGAGAGGGAGAATCTTGGGCCGACTTCATGCTGAGTGAGGAGCCTGACTCAGGGCTCAGTCCCACAACCCTGACATCATGACCTGAGCCAAACCAAGAGTAGGATACTTAACCAACTGAGCCACCCAGGCACCCCACAAGTGACATGGTTTTTAACTTAAATATCTAAGTAATTAATGTTCCCTATAGCTTTGCCATTCTTAAACCACTTGTACAATATTTTCTCTTTGATCTTCATGAAAACCCAACATTTAAATTGTAACTCTGCAAATTGAGAAATAATGTAGTTTTTCTCATCAAGCTGATGAATTTGTCCTATGAAATGCATAGTAGATGGCAGGGCTTCCATTAAATGCTGGAAATGAGATGATAAACAGAATAGATCCTGACTTCCTAAATTTCAGAGTGTAGAAGAAAACCAAGGTTTACATTCACCATTTCATTTCTAAAATAAGATTCACACAGAGGGTGATGAGAAGTGATGGAATGTTGGAGGAAGGGCGCACAGTATTCGGCCTGATAGAATGGAGAAAAATATTTTGTAATCTGAGGGAATTCTACATGCGCTTATAGAATGTTTTTCTTACTGTATTTTTACTGATATTCTATATTCCTATCAGGCATTTCTGGGAGATCCCAACAAACACTGTTGTTTTTTAGTGTTAATGAACTCCTCTCGCACTTTTCCTTAGTGGGAGGGGAGGGGGGGGCAGTTCTCTCTTTATACCTCAGGAAGTTCTCTCCTCTTTAGATTAGACTTTTCACTAAACAAAAGTTGAGTTTCTTCTTAAACTTTTTGATATTTGTGCTTTGCCTCCAGAGTTGTCCCGTGTAGTTGCTTTTGTCTCTTTTTTATTGTTTATTACCTGGTACTAGAAATTTGGTTTCGCAGCAAGTATTCATTACTAAGTTGGGCTCTTCTAAGAACTCATCTTTGCAGTTTGTCTCATTTTCTGTGGCAGTGCATCTGATAAGTGTTACCTAATGATTCAGGGTCTGTGGTTGACAAGCGTTTTAGCAGTTGCATGGCTTCTTTCAGCCTCTGTGGGGCAATAAAGCACATGAATGAGCTCTCAATCTTCAGAAGGAAAACCTGAAACAAAGAGTCACCTTCACGTGCAGTCTAATTCAGCTTTCCAGCATGAGCATTTTATCACACACAGTTCATTAAAGTGAGGACATAAAATAGCATTTTTCTGCGTGTTTGTTATATTTTAAATTCCATTTATTTTATAATAGTAATAGTTCTATAGTACTTGCATATAATTTATAAACCAAAAGACATATGTTGGGTGTACATGCTCAAAATTGTCTTACTGATAAGGAGGGTGACCAAAACAGTTTGGAAATTAAGTGATCTAAATCACAAGCATCTTGGGACGCCTGGGTGGCTCAGTTGGTTAAGCCTCTGCCTTCAGCTCAGGTCATGACCCCAGGGTCCTGGAGTTGAGCCCTGCATCGGGCTCCCTGCTCAGCGGGAGAGTCTGTTTCTCCCTCTCCCTCTTGTGCTCTCCCTCTCTCAAATAAATGAATAAATAACATCTTATCAAAAATAAATCACAAGCATCTTAAAAATGTTATAAAGACAAATTATATAAAAAGGACTTTTAAAATCCATGTTTGATCCAATAAGTGTTGTTGAGAAATCTGTGCAAACCAGCCTTGCACAAGAACAAGTCACTTCCTCGGGCTGTGAAGTGTCTGCTCCTCACCTCTACAAACACTGGGCTTTGATGGCAAGTGGCAGGAAAGTTCTTTCATCACTGTGAGTGGAGAGTGGGAGCTGGAAATGGAAGCTAAAAGACCAGAAGCTAAGAGTAATTCTATAGGGCTCCTGATTTTAATTTTTACACCCAGTTCTTATGAATGAGTAAATCCAGACTTTTTTCTTCCTTTGCAAAATGTAGTGTATATAATGATGAAAATAAAGAAAACAAACTTGATATTTTCTAAAAGCAATCGTGGGCACTTTTAGTCAATTCAATCTTTTCCACTGAATCCAAGCCAGTTATTAATTTTGAAAAAACTTTAGGTTTTGGTTATGAAAACATCAGTGATGATTACAGTGAAAACACTATCAAATTATTTCTCTCATTTTTGTAAGTTACAATCATATTTTAACTGCAAAAACATCATTAGCATGATTTATCAGCATTTATAATGGATTGGGCAGGCATTAGGGACAATAATAAATCCTTTTTAATTGCTTCCCATCTCATTTCTCACTCTGAAATCCCAAAAGAGAACCCATTGGAACATTGGCAAAATATGTAGATAATTATTTTCATATTCCCCTTCCTATTCTTAACATTAAATAGTCTAAATTAATGGTAACTTGAGGGTTTCAACACATCTGTGAAATTTAGAATTTAAAGTAATGGGTAGTTAATTGATAATGCTTTTTGCTAGAAACCTGTAAGAAGTCTACCTAATGCCTCTGTTTTTCTCTTAATGGAGTACAAGGAAAATATTACTCTTGTGATTTGGGAAATTATGTTATAGGTAATGCATGTGACTTAGTGGTAGAATAAATGTAGAATTTTGAGTAATATGTGTATTGGTTCTATGATACACCCAGATAGCTCATCTTCACATTTAATTATTAATAGCATTATTACATTCTACTTATGTGGTTTTATTTGCCTTTTCTTTTTCTCCTAAGAGAGTAATCCCCTTAAAAGACCAGTCATTTGAGGTTGCTGCTTAATCAAGACGTGTGTGAAGTTGGCAGAACACAGAGTGTTCTGAATTGCTGGAATTGCTGATTCATTTGCAAATACAAAATAACCCACTTTCCTACCAGCACATTAGCACTGGGAAGGATTTCCAAGTCCCGGTAGTGATTCACAGATAAGCTTGCAATATATCATGCCTGATGAGATGTATATCATCTTCATCATCATCATCATCATCATCACTAAAGTATTTGCTGATCAAATTCCCAAAATACAGCACTGTGTTAATATGGAAATGAGCTTGGTTCCTGTCTTCTTGATAAATTTCAGATATGGATTTCTTTGATAACAGCTTTTGATATTTAAAGTGAGTGCTTTCTATTAAATTAGAAGACATAAAGTTGCTTTAAAACATGACATTTATGTAGTAACTTTGAAATCTCTGATTTGAAATTGCAGCTGATGTACTGAGTGAAGAAGCAATATTGAAATGGTACAAAGAAGCACACGTTGCCAAAGGCAAAAGTGTTTTTCTTGACCAGATGAAGAAATTTGTTGAGTGGCTACAAAACGCAGAAGAAGGTATGATTCCATTTAACAACTTTGGTGGCCGTTTAGCACACACTTTCTCATTCTAATTTAAGGTATCTACTTCTTCCACAGATTTTTCATGCTTTCCTAAAACTAAAGTTCTTAGGGTGTTTTCCATATCAAACATCTTGCCTGCAAACTTAGCCTTCCTTTCTGAAATTAAAGCAATTAAAGTTCTACATGGTAAACAAAACAAAACAAAAAACAACAACAACAACAACGAAAACAAAGCCTGTTAAATTATCCACTCTAATGGGGGACAAAGGAATAAATCATTAGCTGTTGTGAAAGGAAAAAAAAATTGGCTTACACATTGTGGGATTATATAGATTTTTATAGCACCTTAACCAGTTGACTGGTACTTAAATGGGAGCACTAGGTGGAAGAATAATGGATGAGAGTGAATCCCACTAAGCATGAAAAGTTTATTTTAGATGACCCAGAAGAGTAAAAGTAATTACAGTCTCTAATAATATTTATGAGCATGCTGCATTTTTAGAAAGGCAAAATTCATTGAAAAGCAAACAGGAGCCAGAGGTTGCTACTGCCCTCACATATTATATGTCTGTCTTCCCTAGTAAATGCATGCCTATGACAAAAAAATGTCTTCTGGGGGTTGGGGTAGGGTAGCAGATTAGAAACTCTTTCATGACTTTATTTAAAGGAATCTCTGGGGGCACCTGGCTGGCTCAGTTGGCAGAGCATGAGACTCAGAGTCATGAGTTTGAGTCCCACGTTGGGCATAGAATGTACTAAATAAAAATTTTTTTAGAAGGACAGGTGCCTGGGTGACTCAGTCAGCTAAGCCTCTGGCTCGTGGTTTGGGTTCAGGTCATGATCTCATGGGTTGTGAGACTGAGCCCCCACATCAGGCTCCGCACTCAGCGGGGAGTCTGCTTGATGATTCTCTCCCTCTGCCTACCCCCCTCATTGATGCGCGCTCTCTCTCTCTCTCTCTCAAAATAAATAAATAAATCTTTTAAAAATTTTTTTAAAGGAATCTCTGAATAAAAACCCTGACTTTTCTCTCTCTTCTCTCTCCCTAGAATCCGAATCGGAAGGTGAAGAAAATTAGATGGCTCAAGAAGCACAATACCTAGGCTACCACACAACACTTTTACGGGGAATGCTGAACCATTCGAGAAGAGAAACTTGACTTCTGTTTTCACAAAGGAGAAAAAAAAATAGGATAGGCTTCCCTTGTGCAGAGGGGGAAATGGTTTTTGTTTTTGTTTTGTTTTTAAATGGAGCCCTGAGGCATCAGCTATTACACTTGGGACTCTACCTCTCACTCACTATATGCTAACTTAAAGCCATTCAACAAGGAGTCAAGTAGGTATCTGAAATTAAATACTCAACAGACTCCTCTTTTTTAGCTGTATTTTTCAGGTACTGTGTGGTGAACGCCCCCACTGGTGTCTATAACAGGGCCACTTTGGTAGTTGTGTATCTGCTCGTGTATGTGATTTGACAAACCAGTTTTTTAAAATAAATGGCTTTTTAAAAATCTGGGCTTATATTCTCAGAGCTTTTATTTCTTTAGTGCACATGACTTCTTACACAGTTGACCTTTCATTGTTATGCTTTTTTTCTCCACCCAGCATTGTGAATGTTTACGTTTCTTGTCATCTGTAGGAACAACCCTGTTCCTTTTACCGTCATTAAGTAGCACATTTCACTTGTCTTCATACTGAAATAGAAATCGACCCAAAATACATGCACATTAGCACTAATACCATGAATTGATAGTATTGATAATTGTTAGGTATATAAATTTATAGTTCCACATTTCTCATGTTTTCCTCAGCGCTATTTCTTCCCTGTTTGGAGGAGAGCTAATTGATGTACATATGTAAATAGATCTTTGTTTATGTTTATCACTAGGTGAGTTTAGTCTTTAAATTATCTTGTTCTCAGTAATAACAGTGAAGCATCTTACTGCTTGCAAAAGCTCATAGTTTATTACATGCTTCTTTCTTAACTCTTGAAAAACTTGAGGACTGCCCCTGTTGCTATTAGGGCAATGGTTATCTCCAAGACAAACATTTTCTCTGAGTAAGAGTTGAAACAAGGAAGATGCATGGCAAACAACATTCAGCAAGTCAAGTATATAAAGAACTTTATCATTGTCATGTCATCATCCTGTATCAAAAGACAGTTTTCTAATTACCTATGTGTCCTCAGGAAGAAAAGGAAATCTTTTCCCTATGACTTAACCACATACTTAAATCTGTAACATGATGGACTCCTTTAAAAACTCATCAGCCTTTGATTAATTCCTTTCTTCCCATTAGAGCATTCAAGTTCTCTCTCCCAACAACAGACAGAGAAATATCAATTTGAATAGATCCTTTTGAAAAATCATCTGTATGTGAGAATGTCATTTTCATTACAGAGGAAATAGTAAGGACAGAATAACTAAGCCAGGAATAAAGAGCTTTACAGCACCTTGAAGTGATTAGAATACCGCTGGATGTACATATGTCTTGTTCTTTCTTGAAATTCTGCTGAGCACTGCCCCTCTTCCAGACTAGATTTCTTTTCCAGTCTGTCTGTTCACAATTGCCCTGCTATTTTATAAAAGAAAATATTAACTCCTCATCCTGTTATGGTACCCTGGGATGAAAACCACCTGGAACTAAACAAGCGGACAATTCTAGAATGCGTCGTTCTTCTAGAATAGTCCTGTGAGGGGAAAGCAGGAACCTGAAGGGAGAAAAGTCTGATACCTTCCAGGCCATCGATACATGACAAGCCTCCATTATCTAGCTACCCTTTCATCTAGCTAAAAATTAGAATTATGAAGTGGTAGCCACATCCTAGACTTCATGCTAATGTGTTTATTTGAATGGAAAAAAATGAAAAATTTTAGTTGGGACATAAGTTTGGCCATCTAATTGGTAAGTGCTGATTGCCAATTAGGATACATGGCATATTTCAGAAGTGTATTAAGTTAAATATGTATCTGATATTTTGACAAAATAGATTTATTAAAGGTAAAATTTTGAAAATTAATGGAATTTGTAATAAAAATTTTGTCAATTTTTATGTCTTATTTTATATATGTCATGTTTAATTTTATACATCAATGTGTAAGACAATTTCCCCTTTCATTTTAGGGGATCTCGAATAAAAAGTATGTTAGAGAATATTTGACTTTGTTCCCACTGTATCAAAGGTAACCACACTGAGACCTAGAAAGGCACAGAGTTGTCCAAAGCCTTGAAGTTAAGTGTCCAAGATGGAACTAAAGACCCATCTTCTGAGTCCCACACCCCCAATACTCTTTCTCCCCTATGTTCTGCTGTCAAATTAATGAAAATATTATTTTCATTTTCTTCTTTCCAATTAATGAAAATGAATTACAGTTCAAGCAAGTGTTTTTTTAAACTAACACTTTTATTGAATAAAATCTGGAGACATCAGAAGATCAATTTTCTAAATTATAAAATGTAACAATGATAGGATACTAAATACCTAACACTTTTTAGCACAGAATATTTTTCCCAAACAGAACTAACAAAATTTGCGATAGTGATTTTAAGGTAAGCAAGCATGGAGGGAGGGGGGAAATGCTCAAATAGCAAAGATTTCCTGCATCGATAAAGAAGATACGGTATATATATATACACCTGCCATTTGTGACAACATGGATGGACCTAGAAAGTATTAAGCTAAGTAAAATAACAAAGACAAATACCATATGATTTCACTGATATCTGGAATCTAAAAAACAAATGAACCAACAAAAAGAAGAAACAGACCCATAAATACAAAGAACAAACATGGTTGCCAGTGGGTGGGGGATGGGTGAAGGGAAGTGGGAGATACAGGCTTCCAGTTATGGAATGCATAAGTCATGGTAATAAAGGGTACAACATAGGGAATACAGTCAGTGGTATCGTAATAGCATATGGTGAGACGGTAGGCACGCTGTGGTGAGCATAGCATAATAATGTATTGAGTTGAATCATACTGTACACCTGAAACTAATGTAATATTGTGTATGTGTCAATTATACTCAAATAAAAAAGCATCTTAAGTATTTTTAAAACTGACAAAAGTTTCTGGATAGATCACAAATCTTCATTTAATGTTAAAACAAAACAATGAAAGCACTAAAAGAAAATGTAGGAAATACCTTTATAACAGGCATGGAAAAAGCATAACACAAAGCCCCCCAAAAAATCTGATTATAAAATGTCAAAACTTTTTCCATAGTGAAACAGTTACATGAGTAAAAAACACTAAATGTATGTGGGATCAATAGAGTTTCAAAAGATTAGATGAAAATGTTTTTTTATAAAAATAATAGAATTAACAACAATACAGCATAAATAGCATCTATAAATCAATAAAAAATTGAGAAAGTGCAAAGTATGAAAAGTCTAGATGCCCAATCCTACTGTTAATCAGAGATGTGCAAAATAATAAGATAAAATATTTTACTTACTGTGTTGGAAAAAATTCCTAAAACCAATAATCAGCAATGGTCTGTGTGAAAAAAAAAAATGGGTTCTTTCCTTTTGCACATGGCCTTTAGAGTTAAAATTTGGCAATAAATATTAACACTTAAAAAAACGCATATTCTTTGACTCGGCACGCCCGCTCTGGAATCCATCCCATAGGTGTACCCACAGACATTTGTGCAGTGATCATTCTATTAATAATGAAACTGGAATGGGGCTCCTGGGTGGCTCAGTCATTAAGCGTCTGCCTTCGGCTCAGGTCATGATCCCAGGGTCCTGGGATCGAGCCCTGCATCGGGCTCCCCGCTCTGCAGGAAGCTTGCTTCTCCCTCTCTCACTCCCCCTGCTTGTGTTCTCTCTCTCGCTGTGTCTCTCTGTGTCAAATAAATAAATAAAATCTTTTAAAAAGAAAATAATGAAACTGGAATGAACTGAGACATTCTTAAAATGTCTGTGTCTAAATGTCTGAGAGGTGGCGCCTGGGTGGCTCAGTCGGTTAAGCATCTGACTCTTGGTTTCAGCTCAGGTCTTTCTCTCATGGGTGGTAGGATCAAACCCACCCTGCATTAGGCTCGTGCTCAGCAGGAATCCGTTTGCATATTATCTCCCTCTCCCCCTTCCCCCATGCTCTCTCTCTCTCTCTCTCTCTCAAATAAATCTTAAAAAAATAAAATGTCTGAGAAAGGAACTAGTAGAGTAAATTATGATAAATCCATATCAGGGAATGAGGTAGACTCAAAAAGTTGTCCATAATATATCATTAAAGGAAAATACAAGTTAAAAAGAATATTTTCCCCATTAAGGGGAAAATTATATAAAGCTGTGTTTATATAATGTACCTTTACAAATACATAGAAAGGGAATGATGTTTTCTAATATTTGTTATTTCTGCATTAGTCTTGGGCAGAGCTGGAAGAAGGAGGAGAATTTTCTTTTTACTCTGTATACTTGAATTTCTTTAGAAAGAACATGCAATACCTTGTTAATTTAAAAAATTAATGGATGTTTATTTTGGAAAAATATAAAAAAGCTTTTGGAAGAAACTATTACGTAGTTTTTTGCCACAGAGATGAGCACTTCCAATATTTTTATATTTTTACAAATACGGTTTTGCTTAATTCTTTAACCAGTAAGTCCTTTCTACATCAATTTTATGTCCCGCTCTTTATTAAATATTATTCTGTAACATTTTACCACATCAATAACTCTTCAAAAACATGATTTCACAATACATATAATTGTTCTTGCTATGGATGGGACATATTTATAACTCTATGTTTCAATATAAGATATTTTATAACTTTTTGCTTTTAAAAATAACCATTCAAAATATTTTCCCATAAGTCTTTGTTTATCTATGATTATTAGAAAAATAGAGATGGAATTGGGGTCAAAGAATTTGACTATTTTTAACACAAAGTGGTCTTATTTTCTGAATTTGCATTTATACATATGAATGCATTTTACTCCCATCTTGAGATAGTTCAAGGCAATATCATTTTAGTCAGAAATCTTAAAACCGTTAGCCTCTAAAGATCTGGAAGTTTAAGCTTCTGAAATTCAGCAGATCCGATTTATAAAATCGTAAGAGTAGGGGAAAGTAAAATATTTCATTTTTAAGCCAAGAAAACCAGCAGTCTGGAAAC